TTCAGAGCCTCAGGTATGTGGCTACATCTTATGTTTTAACAGTTGTCATGTCTTCCATGCTTGCTGATATTGGGCTAACACTCAGCCCAGCCCCGTTGCATTTTGCCTGGTGGGAAGAGTAAAGAGGAAGGTTCAGTGCATTCAGTCAAGCATAATGACACCCAAGCCTCCTATGTCTTGGTTTTTGCCCTGAACAGTAGTTGACCAGCCTCAACGGAAGCTAACTGAGATATGGTCAGCAGTATTACTCAGATCTTATCAGATACTATTTCAAGAATATAACTGCAAATATGAGAGCTGAATATCCAGCATGTGTCTTTTGACAGTGGAATTGGCAGAAGGCAAATTGGTGCTGTTCACTGCTGCCTCTAATTTCTACCTCCAGTTTTGTGTGTTGTTGCATTCATCCTGGGTTCACTAAAACCTTGAAACATTTTTTATTTACAGTCTCCTCTCATGAACAGTGGATAATACCAAGGTGAAAGAGTCCTTACAAGAATTGTTTCACTTGTGCACACATGCACATACACAGCAGGTCAAAGCAGTGAAGGATGAGTCCCATAGCTACTGAGCTCAGCCAGCCCTGTCTCACACAACAACTTCCTGGATTAATCCCATCTGCACAAGTTCATATAGAGCAACAATGAGCCATTGCCACAAATGACATCTCAGTTAGCTCCCAAACTCTCTAGCTGGCTGCAATCAAAGATTTTTGTCATTGTGTTACTGTTTCTGCAAGTCTCTTAAGTCTGAAATAGCCTTTACAGTCTCTCCAGAATAGCAGGTGATAGCCTGTATCTCTTCATCTTCTGGTGCATGGGAGTTTTGTCATTTGATTTTTCACAGGTTTTTCATACCTACATTTAATCTTTTAATACTCAGGGCAATAGACAAGCTAAAGTGCTGTTTTTCACACATGGTCTCATTGCATTTAGCAAAGTACATAGCCAGGCCTCCTCAGGTAAATGCTGCATTCATGCATAAATTTCTACAGACACACTGAATGCAGCATATTTAGCTCTATATGCAACTATGTTCTTTTCTTCTTACAATTCTACACCTTACTCTTTCATTCACAGTATCTCCTTGTTAAAAAAAATAGCCCTCGTTAGCAAGACACAATGCTTAAATTCACACTTTTTAACATCTTTATGTGTAATGCAAGCACCCACCAAAAGCAGACTCTACTCTCAGCTAATATACAGTGGATAATCTTCCAGTCTCTCCACACTTGTGTAATTCCAACACCTTTAAGTAGATCTGCTCTGGTTTTATGCAGGTAGAGAGGTGAAGCAAGCCCAGCAGAATAAGGCCAAGAGAACAAATGTCATTCAAAGAGGGATTAGGCCAACTGAACTGTAGGTATTATCTGTTATAGCAGTTCATTAGAATTCCTAAAGGACAAGCAGCATCCCATTCAAACACTTTGAGAGAACTAGCAATTGGAATAGAGAGAATTTATATGAATGGACATAAATGAACACAGAAGAGCATTCCGAACCTGTATTTCACAAGCATAGGGCATCTACAATTCTTCTAAAAGCTGTTGGTCTTTTTTTCACTGCTTTGTACTGCTTCTACCACAAAATCTGTGGAGAACTCTCTCTCAAGCTTCATTTTTTTACGCCATTTGCTAAAGACCATTTCCTCATACAAGGTAAAGTCATCATAGATAAAAAAATGAAAACCTGAGTGTTATTAAGCAAACTGTTTTAAAAACCCTGTAATTTTCATCAGGCAGGGATGAAAGAGGATTCATGGAAAAGGGGCAGGGGCAGAACCCTGGTATTTAAAGGCCTCAAGTTCAATCTTCCTTTTCAGTCACAGCCTTTCTGAATGAATCACTTAGTTTTTTCTTCACTTCCTCAACTGTAAAATGTCACGAAACTAAAAAAGCTCTTCACACACCAGGCTAATTGGAGAAACAGAAGGAGGGCTATTTATGCTTTTAAATTACACAATTAGTCTAAGATTTTCCTTCTGTATTATTTTATTTGCTGCATAATTTAACAAATACCTGTGAACCTAAATTAGGTTGCTCTGTATCACTAAGGTTTAACTGTACTAAATTGCCATGGAATTAACACAGAATACAATTATCATTTGTAAGTATTAAAAAGCATCTTACAATGTCAGACAGTACTTGAACATCCCATAACAGGAAGGTGCTGCTCCTTACAGGTTTGCTCATCCATTCCTATAACTGTAAGGAGCACAGTCCAACAGGAGACAGTGAGGGGCTGTGGTCCAATTTAACAAAGCTCTACTTTTTTTTTTTTTAAATGACTATTAATAATAAACAAGAATACATGAAACACCCTACATTTGACTCTTACAATAGGAGAAGGCACCTCAGTACTTAGGCAGCTCCTATTCCCACGAAACAATAACACAAAATAACCCCACCTTGGTGTCACTACTGACTGCAGTGCCCCCATCCCCTGAATCACAGGGGGCATGGGAGTGCAGGGATACATGCTGTAATGCTACAGTGTGATGGAAAGCACAGCAATAATAGCAGAGTGGCACAATCCTAGGCTACAGCAAGTGACAACAAGCCCAAATGCAGCAACCACAGACACAGAAACAAAGGAAGAAAAACTGCTTACCTTTGGAAGGCCTCAGTTACGTAGGGATATCCAGCAAGATTGCCTTGCCTCTGCTGCCAACCCTTAAATGAGGGAAGGGATGCATCCTGGCTCCACACCTTCTGGTCACTCAGGTACACTGTACACACCCAAGCTCCCCTGGGTTGCCCTGCCTTCCCACCAGGTGCTCAGTCACTGGTTCAGGCTGTGACTTGGCATTTCCATACACGTGCCTGTTCAGACAATTGCATCTAGACTAGATCTGTGCCACAAGAGTTGCCGCAAAACTCAAGGCGCCTTAGGTGCCAGGATACTGCCCTTCAGGTCAGCAGCTTGTTCTGCTCTCAGCACCAAGGATAACCAAAGCTTCTCTCTCACCTGAATTCAACCAGGCAAACCTCAGATTTTCTTAGTGTTAATGCTCCAATTCAGGATGTACTTTGTTTGGAAAGTCATTTCTGCTGCATAAGCATATGCTCTTCTAGAGCTCTCAAGTAACAAAAGGGCAAAAGAGCATACTGGCAACAAAAATATGCAAATATATGTATCAGGCTCAGCTCATTCCAACATTTTTGCAGTTAGAATCGCAATTCTATGGTTCAGCCTGGGGCTGTTCCAGAACTTATGATGTCTACTCTAGGGACAAGTACTTTATGAAAAAAAGAGCTCGTCCCATACCTTCTGGTTCCCATCTCAACTCCTCCTGAAGTCAATACAGTCAGAGGGAGAACTCAGCCCCCTGCTGGCTTTCAGTAACAGTTCAAAGAGCTCTGATCACCCAGAGTAACAAATCCTACAATGGCTGTGCTCCTTTATCACTGTATTAAAACATAATACTTACACCCCACTCAATACTAGGCTAAAATCAATTCAGTCTGGCATCATAACACAAGCAGCAGCAAAACCAAACACTAAGACTGTACAGTGGTAAGAGGAAGATGATTTATTATAGATTGAAGAAAAAAATCATTTTCATCAACTATTCCCTCAGGGGGATCAGTAGAACATAAAGGAAAGAAGGGCAAATGTACAAAACCAACCTGACAAGAAGGCTCTAGATGAAACACATTCAAAGCACTTGCAAATGATCTTGCTGGACAGATGCAGAAGGAAATTAAATCATTCTTCTCCTGCAAAATACAGACTGAAAAATTGATTTTATTAAAAGAAAAAAATTCAGTCTTGCCTTTACCTGCAGATATTTCAGATAAAAAGATATAGGTTTTAACCGAGATACTTTTTTTTAAAAGAAGAAATTCTGGAACTACCATTTGACCACATTTGTTTGAAAATGTATTTTATCTTCACTTCCAACTTCGTGCAGATGGTAAAGAAAAAGGCTCAGCTCACAAAAATAGAAGCTTAGCTACTAAGTTCAAAGAAATCAAGTTGATACTTTTTTCATTCTCTTAATCCCTTAGAAACCCCAGTGTTTGTTTTTCCATAATTGGCAATAGATCCAGAGCATCCTTGTATACATGGTTGTAAAATTAAAAAAATTTTTTTAAAGAAGTGTATCTATGAGAAAACACCAGCAGCATGATTCCTGAAACGTTTCAAGGCCTGCTCCTATCCACCAAAGTCCATGGATTTTAAACTACTACAGCAGGAGCAAATTTTTACAGAGTAAGACACACATTCCTCAAAAAATGAAAACAACAACCTCATAACCTGAAGAGTGTTGAAACCCAAATGTAGAAGTAAGAAACAAATTTTAGCAATATAATTCCCCTGGCCCTAGCCAACACAACATATTTAGCTAGAGTATTTCATTTATTCCAGACTTGGCCAAGATTTCCATTGGTTACAGTGAGAGTATTACTTAAATAATGAAGAAAAAGGACCTCATGCATTAATAAGCCAAAATATAAATCCATGCTATGGTAATAGCTTTCCCTTCTAATACCCTGTAATGAGCATCTAGAAAAGGAAAAAGGACAATAAGCTTTATAGAAAAAAATGCATTTTGTTGCACTAATGAACATCTTAAGCAACTCCACAGAAGTTTTCAGGGTTCCTTTTGAGAAATACCAAAAAAGCAAAATGTCAAAAATAGACCAATGTTAGGCAAAATCACAATGCATTTACCCATCAGTGCAGAGCACAAAATAACAACTGATGCTTTGCTTAAATCAAGCAAAACAGTATCACTTTCATACTTCTCACAAGTACATCAATTCCACAGTTTGCTTCCTTACCTTAAAAGAAATGCTTTAAAATTCCCCACAGATATCATCAAGTTACCAAAGGAATCATTGGAGGAAAAAATAAAACAACCAGACCAAAAAACTAAAAAGGACATTTAAGTGTTGAAAGGAAATCCTAGTTTTGCTTGTTGTGAAAATAAACAAAGAATATCCATTGGCTGCACTGCTGGGTTTTTTTGTGTGGGTTTTTTGGGGGGGGAGGAGGGTAGAGCTTTTAGCATCAAGGGAAAGAAAACAACACATCCATGAGAGGCAAAACATTTTCACAAATATATTAAATATCATTTCTGATCCAAAAGCAAAGTGCGATGTAGAGTTTACTACTTAAACAAAAACAACCTAGTAATGCCTTAAATACTAACAAGTCAATTAGTGGTCAGCACAGTAAAATAAATATGAAGACACTGATTTGTATTCCGTTTCTAGCAGCAAAGGTCATTAACCTACTGGCCAATGAGACAGTTCCACAGAAGTTCTACTTCTTGATTTTGATACTTCGATTAACTAGAGAAAGTTTTCTGCTGGGTGTGGAAAATAGTATTGCAGCTGTATGGTATCCTTCCCATCCCACAACACGCGTTCTGAACAATGATCTGGAGAACAGCTTTCCCCAAAAAAATAAAACCACAATCCATCCTGCTTCTCATGCTGGAAAGCATGAGTTTGGATTGGCTTGAACCTTAATGATGATAGTGAGGTGTTTGTAATCAACAGTTTCCTGTGCTAAAGGGAGAATGGGATGTAGCACATTTGTACCAGGAGGTAATGTCACATGGAGCAAAATGAGTCTTGACACTTCCAGCAGCCACTCAGTCACAGGACGTGAACAGTCACTGAAAATGCCAAATGAGGAGCAGATTGTTGGGCTGGGAGCAGGAGCAGTAACACAAGCAAAGAGGTGAACAACTGATTTTAAGCTATATGAAAGCAGACCAAAAAAGCCTTCTTGGTCCTCATTATAAGTACCTCCAGCTCCTCCAGATCTTATTTCAAAAAGTGTTGGTTTTCTGCTATTAACTGCAGCCTGTGGGAAATACCATGCTTTAATTTACAGCAAGAGGGATGTTTAACTATAAAGCATGAATCATACTGGTGAAATACTTAAAGTACAGCTGATCCAGCTCCTTCTGGTCCTGCACAGTGGTGTCAGACTAGGAAAAGATAGCACTAAGGGAAAACCAGCCCTTCAACAGCAAAAGATGAGGGGAGAAGGTTGACAGGAGATTTTCGCAAGGAGAATGTTCTTCAGGATGGCAAAGGTGAACCGTGGGCTGGATAGCACAGGAGAAACAAACAGCCTGTCAAAACTGCCTAGTTAGTTCTCTTCAGTCTGGGCTCCTGTTTTACCTCCTAATACACTCCTGTGCACAAAGCATATTTAATAGGGCTTTGCAGAAAGGAAGAGAAGGAATCCCACTCAGAGGATGTCTGCTGCCCTGCCTGTATCTGCACAGCAAGGACCAGCCTGGAATGATGTAGATTGCTTTCATCTACTTTGCAAGAGCTCTCTGCCAGCATATAGGAAAGCAGTGCTAAGGTCGCATGGCTACCTGGTGCTCAGCTAGCTAGAGACAACAATACTCAGTTTCTGAGAAAAGCATTCATTTTTGAGCAGCCAAGTGAGACAAGCCTTTCCAAAGTGGATTAAAAAGACTAATAAAAACTACCTAGGTTTGTTGTTTAGTCATTTTTCATTTTTTAAGGCAAGCAGATAATCCTTCTGGAATGCAAGAGGCAGGGATCAGAATGGCAAAAAAAAGGCAGGATTGGTTACCTTCAACATCAGGTGAAGTTTATCCCTGGCAAAAGGCTACTGAAACTGATGAAGCTGCACCTAATTCAATCTACCTATGGAGGAGTAAGAGAGAAGACATGGTCCCTCCTTTACCCCCTCTGCATCAGCCACCAATCTACAGCTGCAGCAGTGCTGTGATGAATAAGGTCCAATTGAGTTTCACTACATGCTGCACTTGCCACTGAAGCCAATGCAACAGAAACATCATGAGCCAGGTTTCAATCACAGCTCCTCACATCTACCTAAATGGGTAGAAGAGTGCCAGCTCTTTATCCCCTTTCCACTTTTGCTTAGGAAAATTAAAACAGACACATACTCTTCATTGACATTTAAAAAGATGCTTGAAAAGTTTTGTGAATACTTCTGCATCACCAAAAAGTTGTTACTTAAACAATCACTGTTGACATTCACATCCTAACCAACCTTAAATTTCTACGGTCCCTAAATGGTGAAATTCACATCAAGAAATGGAATTAAAACCCAGTTTGAGATGGGAAAAGAGGGGGAAAAAAGTTAATCTAATACAGGTAGCATTTCACCTCTTCTCTTTAACATCCCTTTGGCTTTTTCCAAGGAATGATGTGGAGGTGGGATACACTGACATCTACTTCCCAAGGCCAAGGAAGCCGTGCTCTCCCAGAGCAACAAAGCTGCAGGCTAGGCACTAATGCTCTCTTCTACATCAGTATGAAAAGAAATTACACCTGACAGTTCCTTCCAACCTATCCTTAACCCTACTCTATCTAACATCAGAGCACAGCACATCCCATCCAAGCAGGTTTGCTTTCCAATTCACTTCATTAAGCCACAGAGAGTTGAGCTACCCACAGTGCATTAAAGTACTTATCAACAGTACCAAGAACCCTTTTTAATTCTTAACTGTTTGGTAGAAGAATATTTCTGGATGTGGCTAATCAGCTGATAAATAATGTCAGATGTTCAGAGAGAAATCTGCATCACAGAAAGGAGTAAGATGCAAGACCCTCCAAGGTAGAGAGGTGTGCACAGCCTTTCTACAGGCACGTGAAAAGAATTTACTGTAGGCTGTAACAAGAGCCACAATTAGCAATTTGTGGACAAGTACACCCCAAACTCACACATTTACAGGTCCCATTCCTGCTCCTCTTTTACAAGCTATTCAGAGATTGACTCTGCTGGAGAAATACATTCTGAAGCACTACTCTATGGTGTGCAAAGAGAGGAACAGGCTTTGCATGTGGTCTCACCCATGCGGTAGAACCACAGAAGTTTCCAGCACTTCTTGGGCTTTGCATATTCATGCAGCAGGCCAAGGAGAAAACAAAGTCCCCTCAGCCACTCAATACAATGAGGAGCCTTAGATAACTAGCAAACAAACATCAAAAACACTTCATGTCCTGCACAGTGTCATCCTGCCAACTATGATAGAAAAAAAATTTAACCATACCATTGAGTTTGCAGGTGTTACATGTATAGCTCAAGAGCATACTCCTATCAAATGGAGCACAAAGCAGGGCATGTGGCAAACAGCAGGCGAGAGACAAGCTGCTCTATTTGCAAACTACTACCAAGGGTGGCGTGTCATTGTACGTAGCCTAAGTTCTCCATCTCGTTTCTGTACCGCTGTTCGGACACCTTGCTTTTATGCTGTTTGCTTTCTAAGTGCTGCCTGAACTCCATCTCCTCACTGGCCCCAGCGTTGCACATGGAGCAGTAGAACTGGCCACTGGGGGTGACACACATTGCCAGATCCCGAGGAATCCTCTGACGAGAGCGGGGATTGAAGTAGGGACCTGAGGAAACAACAGAAAAGTCTATTTATCTAGTTAAAAAAGGTCGAGGCACCTCACTGACAACTTCAAGTCCAATAAATGCATGAAAGAAAGCCACAGATTAGCTTCTTTAATTGATCATTTAAGTGATTAATCGATTTCTTTTTTTTTTTTTTTAAATCACCCAACTCAAGAATTAGAGCAGTCTTTTGATTAGAATAAGCTGTCTAACCCAGTTTAAAAGTCATCCCAAAACATTTGATAGAATTTTAAAACAAATGTTTTCCAAAGGATAACAACTAAAATAACAATATTAACCCAAGCTTCACCAGGAAGCAGGGTCTCAGCCAATATGTGCTCATAACACAACTTAAAATGAAAAAGAGAAACAGATGCTGGGATGGACACTCTAAAACATTTTAACAATAAAAAGGAAAAGTTAGCAACTAACACCTGAGAAAGGGTTCTAGGAACAGATGGTCTTACAGGGAGGCTAACACACTTTCTCATTCTGGACAGAGGAGTGCACATACAGGTTGCTGTGCTACAGTAGGAGTCAAAGCACCTGGTCGCTTGCCAAGAAAATAAAGCAGGAAAATTGTCATCACTTAGAGCAACCCTACAGACGAGCAGGGCAGATGGTAAATTAAGTTACAAACCAAGAAAACAGAATAACAAGCAGGCTGACAAAACAAAGTAACTTTAGCAGCTGGGAAGATACATGCAGACAAGAAGAATCAACAGAGCTGAAACCAGTTCCTTTAACAACCTGTCCCTGCTAGAACAGAGCTCAGAAATAGAAAAAAACAGGTCTACTGAACATTCATTATTATTCTAAATATACAATAGAACAGGTGCAAAGTTGTGATTACCTGTGTTGTTTTGAACTGTGTACATATTTCTTCTGTTCTGCATCATTTTATATTCATTCCCTTCTTTCCTTGTCCTCCGTTTGCCTAGTTCTGATGCATCCCTGAAGATTAAACAAATACAAACAGTTGCAAATCCGAGTTTTCTGACAAAAAAGACTGCCAGAGATACTGCCACATGCTTTCAGCCTGAGCGTGAAGTTGAACAATACCTACGAGAATGAGTTATTCTGTGCTTCTGCAAGACGCAGCCGTTTGGCATGATTTTTCCCCTGGTAGTGAGCCTGTGCCACAGCTGGAGAACTAAATGAGGCATCACAAAGCTTGCAGTAATCATTCTCTGTGGCCAAGATCACTCGGCCACCTGGTTTACTGGATCCCATCTAGCAGCAAAGGGAAAAACACAATGTGAAACAGAAAGTTAAATTGTTGCAATACTTGAATCACAGTGTCTGAGACCAGTATCACCTTGGTCAGACAGCAAGAGCACTAGAAATTAAACACTGGGTTAGGACATTCCAGCCCCTACCCAACTGCTTTTACAAGGACAACTTAGTTTTCTTTGCCTCAGCTTTCCACAGCATCTTCAAATTCCTTGAGATCTATATAAATTCCATGCTACAGATGAAAACAATCTGAATAAACTCTCTGTATTTCTTCAACAGCCACAGAGGCTTGTTTACTTCACAGCAGTGATTTAACACCTCTATTCCTGACTCCTGGGAGCCAACAAATAATGACTTCCATACTGAGGAAGACCCACTGAAATGTAACAGCACTCCTCGCTCGTGTTTCCAGTGTAGCCAATCTCTCCACAGTATCCTGATGATACTGAGAGATAAAAGCAATAACAGAACCACCAAATTTCTTAGCCTTACCCCTCAGGTCCAGGGACACCTGGACCAAAGCTTCAGAGGGAAGATCCAGCCCCACATGAGGAGCTCCTACCATTGAAAACAATACCTTGCCTGTTTCATCAGACAAGCACAGGGGCAGCACGAGGTCTCCTCATTATTTGTGCATCATCCAGAGAATAGTGCTCTGTAAACTGCAGCAGTGAGAGGTTGATACAGCCATGTCACGGCAGCACTTGTAAAGTCCAGTTTCTTTTATGCCTCCTTTGAAATTTCAAGCTTACAGGCTTATATAAAAGCTTATACACAATTCTGACCCATGAGTTATAACATAAATCCTCACATGGCACCAGAATGGCCTTTTTATTGCCATGGACCATTCCCTCCCTCAAAAAAAGCACCAAACACCCCAGCAAGTACAGCACCCATGTACCACCACCAAGGACAGGACTCAGTGCCCTCTTAAGACCCTGATTCAGCCCTTTGTGTAGCCACAAAGCCATTTTACACAGGGCTAAGTCTCCCTCTGGTGGCTCTGACAGAACACATAACAATCTGCTTCTTAGAGCAAATGCTTTCTGCTTTTGTAGTGACAGAGGCTTAAAACTTTTGGAGGTGACAGGCATAACTTTATCCCTGCTGCTCAGCTATGGCTTTCTGCACTTTCACATGCAAGAGACAGGTTAGCTGCTAAGCCCCATGACAATCAGAAGTCTAGAAGAACCAAGTCAACATTATCTCCTTCACCTCTAACATGCCTGAGAGCAAATAGATTTGAATCACAGAGTGACCCATCCCTCCACTCACCCTGTACCCAGGAATAACCACTGCAGAAGGAGCAAGAGTTACATAATAACCCTGGACAATGAGTGCAGGAGCATCTAAGCATTTTTTTCCACATAGGCTTCACTCTCACAATGGAGGTATGATTTTGCAGAGCAGATCCACACCCTCATGCTTAAATTCAGCTACAGCTATTTTCTTTCATACCTGCCTTTAAACAATCTTAATCAGCAGGACATCAGACTTACATAGGAAACAAAGTATTTGCCACGCAGAAATAGACTATTTCAAGTTCAAAATTCTGCTGCAACAGCAGATTGGTATCTGTTCCTTCAAAGGAAAGCAAACAGCTCACAACAGTCTATAACCACCTTCCTGTGTCATCATAAAGAAAATTCTTTCCAAACTCCTGCAGTAATCCTCAAAGCATGAGACTTAGTTATTCTTAATGAGGGTTAGGTTGCAAGCAAACATCATGATCTCAGTCACCTCCCCATGCCTTACCTGAGCTGGAAGGGAAACAACCTGAGGTGGCACAGGCTCAACCGAATTACTCATCCTGGCGGGTGCCGGACAGCTATTGGCAGCATAGTAATTTCGGAGTTTCTTACTATGGTTTTTACCCTGCAAAGAGAACTCAATTTAATCACTGCTCCAATAACAGCACCTTACAGTGAATGCAAAACAAGACTGAGATAAAAAGAAACGGCCAGGAAGATGGCACCTCAGGTAAAGGAACCATCACTCAAAAAATAGCACTGTGACTTTGAGAGATGCAGACACCTCCCCCCCTCTTTGCTCCAAAATGCTCACTAGTTAGCACATTAAGCCTAAACTTCAAACAATCTTCTGAAACAAGTAAGGTTACAATTAGTTCTTCAATCTGCTCTTATTTCACTTAAAACCAGCATTTTGTGTTTTAAACATAGAACATTAACCTCTTTTCGATAAGCCTGAGTACACTCATTCATTTTCATGAGGCTGCAACTATAAGATAATGCAGGAAACCAAACTTCTAAAAAACTCAGCTTTGTATTTTATTTTCTCTTGGAAAATATATACTGTAGTTCTTACTGGCGCTTCGAAAACTGAGAGAAACGTATGAGAGCAAATGTATGTACTGTGGATATATATTAAAGTATATGTGTAAAATAAACATCATACATTTTTAACTACAAACGCACTTTTGCCTTACTGTGACAGAAACACTGCAGAAACCCTATGCTAAACTATAACTATTCCTTCACAGTCAGGAAAACACTTTTTTTTTTAGTGCCAACAGCAAATGTGAGGTCTGGGCCAGGTGTCCTGAAGACACAGGAAAACCACCCTCTTGTATGGGGTGGTGAAGGAAGTTACCATATCCACATCTCTCAAGAATTCAGCACCAGAAAGGCACGCTACTGATATAGGGGATAACATAAGACTAAGATTTATTTAATTTCAGCAAAGAAATATGCAAATTGTTCCTAATGAATTTCAGAGAAACCAACTAGACAGACTGAGCAAATAGAGCTCAGTTTGAGCTGATCCAGCTGATAATTCCTGTAGCAATTGGACAGATCAATACATCAGGAAAGGCATTACAACAAAGATGTGATAACAGAAAGACCAGCACAATAAAAAGGCACTATAAAGGAAAAGAAGAAAATCACTCATCCCTATCAGAAGATCCTAGGTTCACAGGGAAAAGCTTCACCAAGGAGAGAGCTCCAGAAAGAAATCCTCCCCCAGCAGCAGTCAGCCCTTAAATGAGGTCTAAGAGGTGCAGCCAGGCTCCACCCCTTCCAATCACACAGATGAATTGCCTTCACCTGTGCTCCCAGGGCTGACTGTCTTTTACCCAGGTGCTCAATCAGTGGTTCAGGCCATGACTCAACAGTTCCCAGCACATGAGAGTTTGCATAAATACGGCCTCCAGCAAAGCAGCTGTGTGCATAGCCTCAGGAAGGAGGCAGTGATAAGCACGTGGTAGCAGACTTCTCTCCTAAGGGCACAGCTAGTTCCAGTGAAAACATCTGTCCAGGCCTTACAAAAATCATGTTTATGGAATCAGAAGTTCAGTTTCACTGGGAAGATATAGAGGTGGAAAACAAAGAAAAAGTAGGTATGTCTACCTTTCATACCATCTTAGTAGGACTTCTCTGTCCACACAGAAAAAATTTTTGTGATTTGATCCTATCATCATACCTTAAAAGAAAGCTCTGCAGCTTATCTAGATGACCAACAAATTCAATCAAGGTGAAGCTATGTGTGTACAATAGTTATAGACACAGCTTCCAGTCGAGGAGATGTAGCAAAGGTAGCTTCAGATGAGTTAACTCAAATGATACTGCTACTGTGTAGCTACTTCAACACAGCACTCAAAACGCAATGCAGATGCAGCAGCCCTGGAATCCATGCCCCCTACTATTCTGCTTACCTGGTAATGAGCCTGGGCTTGCTGGGCTGAATTCAGAGTGACATTGCAGAGCTTACAGCACAGAGGCTTACATAGTTCCTCCAGCATAGGGTCCTGCTCCACCACCTTTGCAAGCTCTTCGTCTTGTGCGTGATAAAAGGAAGGCCCCAGTCCAAGTGATTTTGGCGGGGAGAGTGGTGAGGTGGCTCTGGGCCTTGTAGCCACTGACATAGGAAGAGATGAAGGTTTCTCAGGATGAGGAAGAAGTCCTGCTTGCTGTAGAAGAATCATTGGCCAAGATGACTGTGGGCATACTATTTCTGAAGGATGAGGAGTCCTCTTCCAATCTAGACCAAAAAGACACAAATGCTGAATTAAGTCACACTGACAACTTCTGCAACTGTATTGCCTGTGCTTTATGCCTTTTTACAATGCCAAGCAGGTATAAAGTCAGTTTGTAAAAATAGCAGCATAACATAACCATGGCAAGATATTAAAAAAATATGGGTATAGGAAACAGACAGTAACTTGAAACACAGCTGTTAGTACCCCAGGGCACCTTTGTAGACACATGAAGATTCCTCACAGTACCTGACCCAGAAGCAGACCCTGTCACAGCATACACACCCCACTGCTCCATGACTGCTAGAAAAGCTAGAAGATGTGGCCTCCAACACACACAGCACCTAAAGCTGTGTTAATAAGAATGAGAGGGACACGACTGTTAGCCATATCCTCTTCTGACAGCCTAAGGAGAAGCTCACTATCTAAAACATAAACAACACTACAATTCATAAGTACTACACGATGCTAGAGGATAACTTAGAAAGAAATATTTCAAAGCATATTTATTTTATATTAATACAGAATACATCTACACACATCTACATCATTAAAATAATCACAAAAATCTTCAGAAAAAATATCTCAAGGTTAACTTTCCTCATCTGAGTCAACAACAAGCAGAAGAACGGGAAACAACGTGAGCAGATCTCGTACACAATCATTTCTCAAGCGTCCCTTTCCCAGATCTTCCATAGTCTTGTGGAATGACCTTGAGCTACTTCTCCGCGTTTCCTTTCTATGCACAACCTGCGCAGCAGCTGTATCTTCTCCTTCTTCAAAAATGGAGTGCTTATCCCATATTAACTTTTATTCTATTATTTCTCAGTTAATTTGAGTTCTCAGAACTAACGTTACATTTCCAACAAGGGGTTCTGAGAGGCTTATTTAATTAAAGTTTATAAATCACATCTAAAGCCTGGGATGAACATTCCCAGAATAATGCTGAGCAGTGATATTATGAATTGAGGCACAGCTACTTTTGTTAATGTCTTATTAGCTTCTTATCATAACAAATCCCATTCACTGTTACATTGCAGTAGACAGCTGCGTTATCTGTGGTGCCTGCTGACTTCTAGGTAAGGCTGCATTGGTAGCAACCATGTCTGTGCTGTGGGCTTTCACTGTTTAAGCAAATAGCAAGCCACATCTGCATTTTAAATGGGAGATTTCTCAAAGATTGAGGGAAAGGTAAATTAAATGCCACCTAAGAACTTTGGTTCTGAATCACATTTGAAAATAGAATTTGACTTCAAAGGCATTTAGAAACCTGGAGAAGGAGACAGCATTTAACTGGGATAACTTCTGGGATTTTCAATCTGCTAAAATTAGCAGGAGATAAATACCATGTTGCATTCAAGCTCTGGAAAATCCCAGCTGATGATTGCATTTTTAGATCCTCTATTACCTTTGAAAGTCTGACACCATAAAGGTTTATGTTCCATTAGGAAAAAAGAAATGATGGGATTAAAACTCTCAGGTGACATCAGCACTTCTGGAATTGTTACATCTAAACGATATAAGATTGGAGAAAGTTCAATTACTGCTATAACTAGAATTAGGAACAAAAAAACAGCAAGAAAGCAGAGCATGCATTGCCTTGGGAACAAGCTTTTGAATCAGTAACAGAGCCACTGAAAGTTTTTTGTTTTAAATTGCTCTCCACTGTCAAGACTTTCCGAAATTCCAGGAGGGCATGAACGTAACATGAATCAAAATGTGACCACAAAAACAAAATCAAAAACAGCTTCATGGAAACTAACTGAAACATAATGAAACAATATGCTGTACAAAGAATAAACAAAGAATGAGCATGGTGTAAACCACCCATCCGCAGGCCAACTTCTGTACTGCCACCCACTTTCTCTCCAACTTCTGGCATAGGTTCTGCTAGATTAACAGAACTATGGAAAAGTTTCTGCTAGCTTTAGTTTCTGCAAGTAGTGCCTTGTAGACAGTGTAACCAATTTCAGTGGTGCTGATGATGGAACCAGTTCGTGCTCGCAACAGTTACATACCTCACACCACAGACCTCTCAAGGCTCTTGACATCAGCTATGCAAGTAGCTAAACATGCCATTAAACTTCAGAGTTTTACTTCAGTATCATAATGGGCCTCTTACCTTAAAAAGAGAGTCAATTATAGATAAATACTTCAGAGAGCAATATAAAGCAACCTACAGTAAACGGCAATCAGGATCCATCTGCTTAATTTTGCATGAGTGCTTGTTGTGCCACGTCTTCCATACGCAATGGGCGAGGCTGGGATATCAAGCACAAGGCAGGATACTGCTTAAAGGATCTGCATCCACAGGGGGAAAGGCATGAAGCAATACTCCTAGAGAAATCATTATTTATGAGGTCATTCGCTGTTCCTCAAAGTAAACAGTACTCTGAAGATAGAGTTAAGGCTGCATGGGCAATTTTAAAATTAGAACTTCTTGCCTTGCACATACAACTCTGGTGTTCTCCTAAAGATGATCTGTCACTAAAACTGCTTAATTACAGCATTTTTCTCCTTCCAGACACTATTTAAAAGAAAGAAAACCATTCAGTTTCATCTTATTTACGCATCCTTTTAACATCACACTGCTGGTCACTAGAGATACCCATCCAGAAGCTCACAGCACGCCTGGACTCCTCCTTTCCACTCACACGATAAGCTGCAAAATTCGCTACGCTCACAAAACAGCAAATAAGCAAAGCACCCTCTTGTGAGCGAGCTGGGCCTCGGCCTTAAGTGTGGGCATGGCACCCAGCACGGCCACCCTGCGACCTTCCGCAGCCACAGACGGAGCTCACAGCACGATGCTCACATGACAAGCAGCGCCCTGACAGAAATCAGTTTCTAAGTGCACGGGGACAATTAACAACAGCGATAGGGATTTATATAAGCGATGAAAAAGCCGTGGGTTGCCTTCCCACAGCAGCAGAGGTTTCCTCCCAAGCCGGTCGGTTTCCCAGCACGCTGCCAGCGCTTCCATCCTTCCGGAGCGCCCCTTCGGCCGCAGCCCTACGGAGCCTCACCGAAACGCACCGCGTCACGCCGCAGGGGCCGAACACGGCGCACACGCAGCGGACATCGCAGCCATTCGCACCGAGGGCCGGGCCCCTCCGCGCTAAGACTCAACGGCTCAATCCGGGCAAGGACGCACAAAGCCGGTTTAGACCAAACGCGGCTACAGACGCCCGAAGCGCACAGCCCTCCCGCGCAGAACGAAGCCCCGCGGCACCGCGCGCCGTGCGGAACCGCCCCGGGCCCGCACCTACCGGGCCGGAGCCGCCTCCCCGCGCGGGCCGGGCCTCAGGAAGCCGGCGCCGGGCACGGCGGGGCCCACCTGCAGGAAGTGAGGCGGGACGGGGCGGGCACCACGCGTGCGCGGCGCGGGGCTCCGCGTCCCGTGCCGTGGCGGAAGCCCCGCGCTAGGTGGCAGCACGGCGCCGGCGGCGCGCCGCCGAACGCCCCGAGGCCGCGCCGATCTTCCTGACGTCTCGCGATGACGTCACGCCGCGACCATCCCGCGCCGCTTTCCCTCGGCGGCGCACGCGCGCCGCTCGCCTCCCCCGCCTTTCTCTCCCCCACGCCCCCGCGGTTCCACTTCCGGCGGGCGGCGCCTTCCCCGTCCGGGGTCAGGCCCCGCTGCCTTCCTGTTATTGCCGCTGCGGGAGGCGGCTCGCCCGGGGGTGCCGCGCGGACTGCGGCGCCGCTTCCGCCAGCGCCCGGGAGGAGGTGGTCCGCCCGCTCCAGGGTCCCGCGGGGCGGCGCCCGGGGGCCGCGAGGAGCGGCGGGGGGAGACCGCGCCCGTGAGGTGAGCGAGGCGGCGGCGGCGGCGGGGCCCGCGGGGGGAAGCGCGACCCCCGGGCGGGGCGCTGCGGATGGCGGGGCGGGGGCTGCGGCGTGCGGCCGCGGCTGGGAAGCGGAGGAGCAGAGCGCTTTGTGCCGCGTTGCCGGGCGGGAGCTTCGCCTCTGCGCGCCGGTGATGAAGGCGAGAAGGCGGCTTCTTTTTGGGGCTCGGGTATTTATAGGCTGCTAGTGGAACTCTGACTGCTAACGCAGACGGCGTGCTTGTTTTCCCCGAGGGGCTGTGCTGTGCTGCTGCTGTGGGCGTGCCTCGCGTTATTGAGGTATCGGAGCTGCTGTTGCTCAAAGTTCTTTTCCTCGGTCGGCTTTATTTCTTCTGGAAGGCGTTGAGGATCTGCCCGCACAGCCATCGCCCCGCAGCACCGCGTGCTCGCAGCGCACGCACGTGAGCTGTGTTTACAAGCGGGCCGCGCGGCGTGAGGCCTCGCTGCGGGGAGCCGGGGGTGCTGGGCTGGCTTTGGGAGCTGAGCTCCTCGCTGCTTTAAGGGAGAATGCTGAGTTCTGGCCTGTCACCTACCTGTACCCACGCGTTCCTAGCTTTGAGCGGTAACGAGTTTCCAAATTCATCGTGCTGGGGAAGTTCTTCACTTTTGCCAGCATTACCTGAGTTGTTCTTCAACTTATTCTCCTCATTATTAACTTATAGGGATGTTCTCGTAGCTTTTGCCTCAGTTCCTTCTATGCCCCAATTCTATAATGCAGTGCAATAATCAAAGTCCAGCTCTCACTGTGCATAAACAACATGTGTGACCAGGAATATTCCAGCCCTCAGAATGACGGGCTTTAATGGTTTTTGCACTGCAGGGAACTCATTGGATAATTTGTTCTGAAATAATGCTCGGTGTGAACATAGAATTTCACAATAAGTAACGTTGTTCTCCAACAACAAGCTCTTCCAGAGCAGCAATTTGGAAGCATATTTTAACAGTGTCGCTGTGAAACCCCGCATTGACAAAGCTCCTAGTGTTTGCAGGGGAATTGGTGAAACCACACGGTGCTGTCTGTGATCTGGGAAGTGTCGTCTTTGTCATTAAGACAATAAACATAGCAGCTTCAGAGGCTTAGCTGGAATTTTGCTGGGGCAGGTGCCCTGAATTTCAGGGGTGTGAACTTGATGCCATTCTTAGCAACTTGGAGACAACGTTTCTTGTTTTTCAGAGCACTGAGCCCAGCCTACAGACCCACACCCAGATGTTTTAGCTGTTCTGCTGCCTCCAATTCTCATTCCATTTGAATGGCAGAAACATATTGCTGTTTGTTACAGCTTGCTTCTACTGATAATGAAACTGACTGTTTTGGTTTCACTTTGTTTTCTTTTCTGGAGTATTCCTTGGAAAAGGTGGTGTAGCTGAGCTGTTTACAAAGCAATTGTGCTTTATTGGAAGTCATAAAGCAGTTCAGTACCTAGTTAACTGTTTCTGTGCCAGTCAGAATTAACTGCTCTCTGGAAGCAAGTGGGGAATAGTTGCTTCTGGACAGCTGTTGTAAGAAGTTGCTGGAGGATTTGGAATAGGATTTATGCAAAAGCAAGAGTTTCATACTTTCACCATCATGCTGCTTCACAAAACCAAGTAGGCTGTAAGAGCTTTCCAGGTATTGGGAAAAAAAATACCTTTGAAAGGTGTTATCACGCAAAGAATTGACTTCTTTCTGATTGTAGTTGTTCCTTGTGTTTAAATGCGTGCTGTGCTTGTTGATGTCATAAAGTTTTAAACAACATCAATAGCCATAACAGTACACTCAAAAAGAGACGCATGGTCTGTTACCTCTGGATGAATGGGAGCTAAGGCTTTCCATTTATTTTTAACTTTGATACTGAAGAGGAAACAGTCATAACTGATGCTACTTTTTCTCTTGTGGTATGTAACCAGAGCAGGAATATTAATGGAAATAATGCAAAGAGGGGTTTTAAAATAATCAATAAAAGTAAGTAATAAAGCAGAAGTCAATTTTATAATTTTGTAACTATGGGAAAACATGTGAGACTTATTAAATCTCCCAGATGAGGAGAAATGGGCCACATGTGTTCTGTGCATGCAAATGAGGTGGAGGAGGAGCATTAGAGAGAGGAAGTGTTTGTATTTCCACAGACTGAAGGAACGGGCTGATGGCTTGAAGTGTAAGTTAAGGTAGTTGTTTTTATATCTTTTTGGTCATAGCATTCTTTGCTTTTAGGAGTTTGGTCTCTTCCTTTGGGAAAAAAAAGACCTCTGGTTCCTCCAAGGGATGATACTTGTCTGAAATTGTAACTAAGGGGACAAGAGGCAACAATTATTTGTGGTAGAACTGGGTGTAATTTTCTTTTACTCTTAAGTTGAATGTGTCCTGGCAAATAATTGTTACAAATCTCTCTTCCCGGTGCCCTCATCCAAGTGGGAGCAGTGCAAAGAGAGAACAGATTTGTTTCTCTCGGTGTTTGTTCAGATGCCAATCACATGTGAGTTGTTCTGAGTTCTGGATGAGCTCGGATAGCCTCCGGAGGTCCCTTCCAACTTAAATTATTCTGTAAACATACTTTTGAATGGTAAATGGAATATTATATGAACCAGCAGTAATATTCTGAAGTGTTAACTGTTTGTTTTCCATGCTGTGTTGCTACAGTTTTTAAAAAAAAAGAAAGAGTGGGGTTGAGGGGGGTTAAGGATAGCTAAACTGTTTAAAAGATTGGACTGACTTTAGATATATAAGCAAACCTGTGGGCAAATTGAAATGCTACAGATTGAGTACTATGTGAAGTTGGATCTATTATCTCTAACCAATGGTTTTCAACCAAGTGTTTTTATTTTACGTAGCATGCATAGGAGGTATTTTCCTAGTAAATTTTGATCTCCCTTTGTGAAAGGTAGTGTAGAAACCCTGTGTACTTCAAACAAGAAGTGTGAGAGACAGTGGAAATAATCACTTGTTCTCTAGTAACAGTGTACTTTTCTCAAAGCTAATAAAGCGGGGAATAAAAGCACTTGGCAGGCATGACTGAGCAAGTACACTCACTGGGAATGTTTATGGTCTGTTTTAGAGAGGCTATGTCTGAGTACCTGAACTCTAGAAGTGTGGAAACAAAGTTCAAAGAAACCAACTTACCTTTACAAAATAGAAGGAGAGAGAATGATGAAGGTTTAGTGTAGCTTCACCTCTCTGGCATGTTGCTAATTTAGCAGTAGAAGTAAATTGGCACTGCTGGAGTGTAGTTTAAGAGCAGTTGAGTCAAGTGAAGAACTTAAGGTTTGGCATACTTTTCTTTTGTGCCCTGTTGTTTTTTCACCAGTAGTAGGTTAGGTATATGTCAAAGAAATCTTCTTCTAGTCTGCTTTTTGACAAGTTTCCTTATATTAACTTTATCCTTATGGATTTTACATAAGATGAATTTGGCAGTTATTTTACTTGTAGTTTCCAATTAAATAAATGCTGACAAACTGAGCTTTTGGGGATTGTGAACCATGAAGCATGTTTGTTGGATACAAGGGGTTTACTGAATTGGCCAAGACTTACGGTAAAGTTCTCTGAAACTGAGACAGCTGAGTCACATTATTGGCTGTACATTATGACCCTTTTCTAAGGCAAAGAAATGAAAAATAATACACATATGACATGTTTCTCTGCAAGTCCAAGCAGAAAAGAAAGGAACTGGAAGGTTGCCTCCTAGACTGTACTGTATCTCAAAGGACACATATATGTGGCTAAAACTAAACTTTTTTCCATACTAATCATTTAATGTGCAGGCTAGTCAGTCTTGTGCTAGTACTTGATGAGGTAGTTAATGCAGATAACACCTCTTACTCTTCCAAGACACTTCCCAGATTTTAACTTGCACTGTTAACTTGAATTGTGATCCTTTCAGAAGCACGGGGTACCTGTTACGATCCCAGTTGTCTGGCAAATGTCTTGACTGTCAGCTGCTTAGAAGTGAGTCCTTGTGATGGGCAATACCTCTGCTGGTTTTCTTCAACAGAGCAATCTAAATTGGTCTTCAAAATATTAGCAGTCAATTTAAAAAAAAAAAAAAAAAAAAAAAGCAGTTCTTGAACATCTTCAAAATGCAAGAAGCCTTGAGCAGGACTGAAATGTTTGAGATTCAGCATTTCATCTGAGATGAATTAACCACAAATAGAAATACCTGCCTGTTTTCTAATTCAAGTATAATAGAGCAAAATTTCTGTGCCCTGGGACTTAAGCCTCTACCTTTCTAGAAAAACAATGATGCTGATCTCTGCAGAGATGCAGGCAAGCTAAGCACAAAACATCTGCAGGTACAGGAACAAAGAAAGGAATAACGAGCAGGGAGTAAGGACTGCTTTGCCATGCAAGCAAAGTGGTAATAAATTGATTCACAGATTTTACAAAAATACTTTTTGTGGTGAGATATGTTGTTAGGCAGCTTTGGTGCTTGTGCTATTAAGTAACTTTTTATTAAGGCTGGAAAGCATTAACTTGACTTCTGACTACAGGCATAGCTTTAAAAAAAAAAAAAAAATACAGTTGATTATGTTAACTTAAGAAGTTTCTAGATAAACCTTCCTTTGGGGAAGGAAGTAAATACTTCCATTCCAAATAGTACTCTAAAATAAGCACGTTGTGGTCATTAAAATGCTTAGACTATAAAATATACTACTTATTCTTCATTTTTGTGTTTATGTTCCCAGTCTGAACGCAGTAACCAGCAAATGCTACCGACAGATTTTAAGAATGGAGACTAAAAACTTCTACTGGGTTCTGAGAAGTTGATGCAGATGCAGAACATCCAGTTCTGCTCACCAGTTTGTGAAGACAGTCTTCACAAGCAATTAATTTACTGTATTTTGTTCTGGTGGTTTCTTGCTGTCAATTCTGTGCAATCTTCCATTTCATTGTCAGGTACTATTGAAGAGCACTTTTTGTAGAATCAAAATGGTTTGATTCTTTGACTTCTAGCATCTAATTGAGATGCTGTTGCTGTAGAGGATACACTTAATCAGTTGTGATTTCTTTTTTACATGGATTTAGCTAAAATGAAGCATTTAAAGTGGACACCAACATTTTAATTGAGTAGGTGAAATTTAATTATTTTGCTTTTTAGTAAAATTCTATTAAGTTATATTCCTCTTCATCTTGCTCTGAGATGGAGGATGAAGCACTCTGGTAGTTATCACTGCTCAGCAGTGCTCCCTTGATCTTAGGTCTCCAGCTTGGACTGTTTTGATGTGTTGAGGAAGATGGCATAACTGTTACCTAGGGGTAAAAGATGTAAATGTGAACTGGGAGGCAAGGAAACTACCTGAAGAGAAGGAGAGCAAAACCTATTCCTGACTTTGGAGGCTCTGCTTAAGTGTGTTGTCAAATTATTTTGCAACCCATCTCTTCAACTCTTCTTTCACCACCACTTTTCCAAACCCTTTACTTACTGTAAATCAGCCGACAGAATGATATCACAAGCAACTGCAAGGTGATTTGAGATGTGTAACCATCATTACAACAGCTTCCGATGTCTTGATGTCCTGATGTGTGAGCCATGATTTAGGTAATTTGCAATATGGTTCCTCTTCCTTAATTGGTGTTTTTTATGGACTGGAATTAAATTAATCCCAACTTAACCTTGGGATAGAACAAGACATCACACAAGCTTAATCTTCACTGGGCTTTTTTTTTTTTCCTAAAAGGAAGTTCTGTCACTGTAACGTGTCCCTTTTAACAGAGTTCTGATTGTACTGATAGGCAACATATGCTGTAGTGTCAAATTTAATCTGTTATGGATATGAAAGTGACCTTCCAAGCAGGAGAGTTGAGAAGTCTTGAAATTGTTGCAGAGAAGTTGGTGGTATTTACTGTTCAAATGCCTCTGAGCTCATGTCACTTCTTAGGAAAGTTCCTGTTATTTGTACATATCTATTGAGGCAAATATTAGCAATTTCTTTCAGATGCAGTAAACATGAATGGGTGGTATCCTGACCTCATTAGAGAAACAATGTGGGTAGCAGCTTGAAGCAGGAAAAGGAGATGCACTAACAACAAGCCCATGTGTCAGCAGCACTTCTTTGCAGAACACAAGGTTTGCAAAGCAGATGCTTCTTACAGATGCGTACAGAAATAATGAAGATTTGATCAAAACAGGCTGAAGAACCCTTTGTTGCAGTTAACTATAGCTGTTCTTATACTTCAGGCTGAAACAGGCAAGGCCTAATGACATACATAGTCAACATGAGTCATATGTTCAGGAAGAGCAAACAAACAAATGCAAATATGTTACTGTCTGAGGAATCATAATTGTTACCTTGGAGCTCAACCTGGAAGTGCAGAGAGAAGTCTTATTCAAGCATCCTTGACAGTTTGAACAAGGATAAACCTATGCTCCTTCAAGCTTCACAGAAACTTTTGGTTTATTTCTAGCTTAAATAAAGCAAGCAAATGTACTTACAAAACCAGTAATTCTGTCAAAAGTGTTGCCTCAAATAGAGGCTCCCTCCTCCATCTTCTGACACGTGTAGGTGCAGTGCACCTAAGCAGCCTTAGGGGCAGAGGTGAAGCCCTACAGGAGTACGAATTGGTGCTAAAAGTTTCACAGCTGAACAGTGTCCTGCTGTGCCACTCTGTGTGTGGGTAAGTACCACTAGTCCCCATCTGCTGGTGTGGTGAGCAAAGATCCATCAGTAATCCTCTTCAGGAAGCTCCTGCTCCTTATCTATTAGCAGAGGTGTCATTTGTGGCTAAATAAATATTTAGTTACTCTCCAATGGACTTGTTTGTGATACAAAACCAGTCAGTAGTGTTTACTATTTTTAACTGATTCTCCAAAAGCCACTGTACTCTTCTGGGGTGGTTGTAGTTGGTGAAGAATCAGGCAGCAGTTTCTGCAGGGAAGGGTTCTCAAGGTCTGCATGGGTTTGTCTGCTGTCTTATTCTACAGCTCTGTGTCTGTATAGGACAATATGCTGAGGACTGTGTTACTGTCTGCTCTTTGTAGAGCAGCAAAGTTTAGCTGCAGAGTTGAGATATCTCACTTAAAGAGCTGTGCCTTTGTGTTAATTCTGTCACAAACTTTCCACAAATGATTTTTAAAAGAGAGTTAGGAAATACCTCATTGGAAAATGTGTGGAGGTTTTGTTTCTAGTATAGAAGCTTAAAACAACAACAAATAACTCCCATGACTTTTGCTGAGGCACACAATTCTTTGTAAAAGCTCTGTCAGAAGTAAAGCTTCATCGCATCTTCTGTTGATTTGTTACTTGCAAACAATGCTTGTTGTTAAAGGAAGCCACTAAGTCTATAGAAACCAAGCCTATGCTTCTACAAGTGCTTGGCTGCAGTGATGAAGGTAGAAGAAGAGGAAACCGAATTTATATTTGGATTGCGAAACAGAAGCTTCTGTGCTCCCATTCATTCCCCTATATTTAACTTCAAAAAATCTGCACAGTTGCAGAAATGCTGCTATTCTCTACCACCTCAAAACCTATTTATTTTACACATGAACTGCATTCAGGGTCTGGAGCAATTCTTTCAGTGTAGCAGAAACCTTTTATCTCTATTTACAGTTGCTTTCAGCCTTGGTTCTAAGAAATGTTATGTGAATAGTATATGATGTGTCATAAGTCAAAATCTGTCGAGTTTTGGCTTTTTCAGCTTCTGCTTAGAGAGGAAGGACTGATGGGGTGCCTCTGCTGAGAAAAGGTACATTAAAATTTATAAGCAGAAGTTTTTAGCTCAGTCCAATTTTTGTAGGAACATGCATTTCTCTGTCCATATGAGCCAGTAGGGTGAGCATTGTTGTCTGACTCTGCTGCTACTTCTGCTTGTAGCAGGGGGGCAAGTGTAGCAGTCTGAGGACTGCAGTGCCTCCGGCGTCACTGTATTTCTTTCCCTGCCCTTCTAGGTGTGGGCAGTTCTTTTTCAACAGAACCAGAGGTTCATCTCGCCGCGGCAAAGGGAATGACTTCTAAAAGGCAGGCGTTAGGTGAGGGCTCTGCTGGAGGAGTGTGCAGCACCTGGGCTCGCTCTGCTGCTCCTTGTCCTTGTCTGTGTGCCAGCACTTCCTGTTTGTACGGATTCTGTTTACTGTCTGGGTTCCAAATAGCCCGGGAAGGTGGGAGGATGGGAAGAAGCAGAAAGAAAAGTAAACAGCATTATTTAAGGTGGAATTTTGTATTTCTGTGTATGCGCGTGCTAGCATTTGTTACTATGTAGCCTAGTGGCATGGAAGAGACTGTCCTGTTCTCTTGATGTTGCTCTGTACTAATTTCCAAAAAGAAGAGAAGACTTCTGCATACTGAAATTGAAGCCCTGGGTATTTGTAGCAAGGAACAGAGTTAGAGGTGCTTTTACTTTGCATTCTTTCTGAAGTTCTTGTAAGGAATGCTTGTCACCCATACAAAATAGATTATTTTTAAAAAGGAAAGTCTTATTTCTAGTGGTATGAAATGACTTGTTGCTCTGATTTTTTACTGCCTAACTTCAAGGCTTTTGACTTAAATAGCTTAGAAGAGCGTGAGTGCTGTTCCCTGGGCTCCAGCACACTGCTGGCTCTGACAGCACGGCCCTGATCCCAGCACTCAGATGGGAGAGTTGTTCCCATCCCACTGCTCCCCCAGCCCTGAAGCAGTGAGTAATAAGTACATGAAGGAAGCATAAAGAGAAGATGCATTGCCTCAGTGGCTCTTCACTGTGCTGTATGACTACGAGTCCTCTATAAATACAATATCCTTTGAGGTAAAGCTAGAAATGGAATTCTTGAATGACTTGGAACTAAAAAGAGTCTTAATTCCAGGCTTTCCTTTCTTTAACAAAGGAAAAGAAATCTGCCTTAAACTGGAAGAAAATGTTCTAGGACAGATGCTGTGCTCTTGGTATGTCACGGGCTCCCTAGGGAGAAAGCACAATCGTGGTGGGAGTTGCAGAGGTCACCAGTAACTTGCAAATGCTTCTTTCCTGTCATCTTGTTTTCATGGCTCCCAGATAGTGAGGCTGTAAACAATGTGCGTGCATGGCTAGGGGAGGCTGCTTAAGGGGGTGTAGAAATGATGTGATGTCAAAACCCTAGGATTTATGAAGGTGTTTTGTTTTTCTTACAGGAAAAAAAATACTAATACTTTGGGCTTTTTTTTTAAAAAAAAAAAACAAACAAAAAAAAACAGGCAAATGAAAAAACAACTGTTCATCTTGGGTTTTTTCTTATATCTGATATTATATCATTCTTGAGTAATTTTTCAGAATGGCCCAGCAAGGCTCTGTAGTGAGTTCCTTTTTTTTTTTTTCTGGGTGATCTCATCATTGGTATTACTCACAGTGTCTGAATGTCACTACAACCAGAACCCAAGGATATTAGATTCAGAAATGAAAAAATAACTGCATGCAAGAGAAAAAGAAACATCTGATAAAGCCTGTCTTCTCATACGTAACTAAACTAAAACAGAATCTTAGTGAGATTTCATCTTCACAGGAGAGAATGACCTTGTATTTCTTCTGTGCTGTAATTCTACAGATACCAGCAATAATGTTAATTTTTCTAGCTTGGTGTAGAACAGTGCAAAGGTGCTGCCTGGGGGGTAAGGGGAAGAAGTAGGTAATTGCAGCTAACATTGATATCGTTGCTTTTCTGTTTCAGAAGGGAACAAAACGCTCGGAAGATGTGTTTTTGGTTGTTAGATCCCTCTGCACGTTGTTTCCCTTGAGCTGCTGTTTGTGATCAGATAAGAAATTCGGCTTATTTGCCTCTTCTGTGGAAGGATAAAGACAAAAATAATACGTAAGAAATTCACATACGTAAATAATACATAAGAAATTCACACTCATTACCTTGAATTAGTCTTCTCCTGCTTTCTGTTATGAACAAAGCAGCGTTGCTACTGTGTGTAACAGTGTTGTCATAGAGGAGTTTCAGACATCTTTGTCTTCCTGGATTTTGGAAAAGTGCCAGCTTGGCAAGCAGGAAGAACAAAAGGACAGGACTGAAAATATCTCGTCGGAGGCAGCCTCACCATCACTGCACATCAGGTTGGGACAGCAGCAAAATTAGGCAAGCAGCCTGGCCCAGTTTTCTTCATGGTAAGCACTGGAGTGGCTGTTCTCTAAAGATGAGAATAAAATATTTTAGTCTTGAAAGTTTGAAATTTTGGGAACAAAATGGAACATAGATTTTTGGTGTTCTCAAAAATGCTACTTTTGCCACACAACTTCTTTTTCATGGCGTTAGTTTTGGGGATTCCATAGAATCTTTTTTTCTAAAAAAACAAGCAAACAGGAAAAACTGGGGGGAAATAGCTAAAGCTTTGTTCTTCTACTGGTTTGGAACAGAACATAGAACTCACAAGTGTGTAGTAAATTGGAATCTATAAACATAGTTGGATTGTTTAATGAGCAGATTCCTTTTTTTTTCCATGGATGACAGTGATAAAAGACTAGAAGATACTTCCAACTGGCAAAGAAATCAAATTTACATACCAATCTTATTGAGCAACTTTCTGATACTAATGATACTGCAAATTATTATAAAACATTACTACATCCTGTTTATGACAGCCATGTAATGAGATTTGTCTTAAAATTGGAAAAGCCAGTGGTCTTCAATTGAAGTGTAGAAGTCAGAGTGATTAATTCAGTCTCAAGTATGGACTGATACAATTGTATTGAGTGTTTAGTATGCCCTTCTGAATTGATTTTGAAACGCTAGCTGATGTTCACAGCAATGCAAAATTGTTCAGTTTCATCCTCTTTCAGTTACATATTCAAGGCTTATGCAAAAAGATATTTTATGCCTTTGACGTGGTGCTTCTGTACAGTTCATTTTTGCTTCTTACTCCCCTCTGTATTTGCTAGCTTTTTTGTTAGGTGGTACGTAATAGAAGAATTTCCTACTTGCAAAGCCTGAAGAGTAGTAGAAGGTGCTTGTGGATGACAGAATAAGTCTCCTAAAGTGAATAAAATGATTTAGATTTTTTTTGCTGGACAGAATTGCGTGGTGAGTCTTTATATCTGCTTTATAAAACACGTGTTAATGTTATATGGTGCTCCTGTCTTTAGAATGCCATTCCACAGAAAAGTTACAAAACAGGAAAGAAAATCGTGTTAACCATGTTACTTACTAGCCAAATGTTGTCATCCACCTGAAGTTAGTAGAATATTTGTGAACAGCCTCTGCAGTGAAAATTAATCTAATCTGTAAAAATCAGTGTTCTCTTAGCGAAAAGTTTGTCTGGATTTTTCTAGTAGAGGAGTTAATGCAAGGTCACTTCTCTGTTGTCATTTGCTGTTTTTGTGATGTGGATTCCATTCGTACTGAAGGATAACAGTTCTTTTTAGCAAAATGCATAGAACTGAGACCAGCAGAAGACTCTTGAGAGTCTTCTGACAAAATGTCACGTGCAAAAATGCTTGCACTGGAAAAAGCACTGCCAGGGTGTCATACTGGACTGTAGATGCACGAGGTTCTTATGTGATAGTGTGGCTATAACAGCTGCAGTAGGCTCAGAAGTTTTAGGGCAAATATATGGGCGTTTTTTTACTAGAGTTCATTTGTTCCAAGCTAAGTTTGTATATATTATGAACACAGAACATGCTATGGTTAGGAACCTCTGTTAACTGGGGTGTGGTACAGCTCTTACTGAATTTTTCCTCCACCGACCTCCATTCCTCTGAGGGAAGGAATTCTCAAAAGTAGTAGCAGCAAACTTCAGTGTCTGGTAAATGTTTTCAGAGTTAACATACTTGTATGTCATGGAGAAGGCATTAGAAAGCTAACTGTAGCCTGCAACTGAATAAAACATTCAACAGAATGAAGTTCAGTTAACTGGGCTGCCTCAGTTCTGCATGATTCAGTATTGTGTGGTGGTAAGCTCACCGTACTGGAGTTCATCAAAAACATATTCTGAAGACTTGTGTCTTAGAATTCCTTAAACTATATTTTGTAGTTTCACTGTATCATATGAGAAAATAGATTATATAAATTAGCATGATGAATGTATCTGTTGAAGCAAGTAGAAATAAGTATTTTGGGGAATACGTTGATGAGCTTCCCTTTTTCTTCCTCCATGTATATTGATTACTTCTTGAGTTTTAAAATTCAATCTGTTAGGTTAGCTTATCTAGGTTAGTGATGGAGAAGATGCTTAACAAATCAGGAAGGCAGTAATGAGTTCAAAAAGCCACGGTCTGATCTGCTGATGCCTTTCTTTTCTGTTTTTCTTTTCTGACAAAGCTTTTGGCTCAGGAGCAAGGTTTCAGGTGTTTTTGGATTGCAGGTGTGGTGCAGCATTCATTTGAAGTGATTGCATGTAGCCTTAGTTGGATCTAAATAACATCTCTCCAGAATTCTCTGAAAATTATACTTTGACTGTCGAAGAACATAATTGATTCTCTTTAATCCAGGCAGCCTTCCAGATTTGGAGTGCACACAGCAATGCAAGCTGCCAACTGTACTTCAAAACTGTTTCTGTTTATGTTTTTGGTTTCCAAATCCAAACCCTGGAGGCGTGCTTACATGCACAAGTGAATGTGTACAGAGCGACTACACACAGACCCAGCACGTCTGTTACCCAGTTTAAAACAAAAGCTGCTGTTCTGGTGCAGTTGCTCTTAAAGGCAGTGTAGATATTTGGGCTGTCCTTTTTGGTCCGTTTTCAAGCCTTTAAAAGAAATGATATTGAGTTGGCACTTCACGTTTGAATCTTTTCAAAAGCCAAGGGTTTACATTTCTTTTGAAAACATGACGTACAGAAGGATTCAATATGTGCATGTGTTTCACAGTTTTGCCTCCGTTTCTTTGTTGGCAATTGTTGGTGGGAAGGGAGGGAAGGTTGGCAATGAAACCATCACTTCTGAAGGAGAGTTAGCTCAGCACTGCTGCAGTAGTGCTTTCTGCTCTGCATAGACCCCAGTGTTCACCTCTGTTTCTCAGCAAGGCAGTTCAAACAACAGAAACTAAACCAAGAGAGGTAGAGTGAGTAGTTCTTTGCCATTTTAATCTATCTGAGCCTGCAAGGAGCTGGGCTGGGGAGTGTGGGTGCCAGCATGATGTGGAATGAGAACACCTGCCTTGGGCAGCAAGAAGATGAGCCCTGATGACCATCAGTTCAGAAAGGCTGATCCAGGGTTGTGGCACCAAACTTAAAAGACCGCTGGTAGAAACTCAGCCTGTGTTGTGAATACTTAACTTGATTGTGGTCCACCTATATTGTTGTTTGTGTATGTGGACAGAAAAGTTCTTATGACTGCATGTTCTTGCTTGGTTTTTAATGATGGTATATACCTGAACAGTAATGTGTTTTTGCCTATGCTTGTAGTTAAGAAATGTAGATAAAAACGTGTAATTTTATATATAGAGAGAGTCTTGCTTATGCTTTACCTGATTAAAAAAAAAGATGCCACGTAACCTTCTCAGTATTTCTTTTTATCTGTAGGCTGAGTTAGCAGTGATTTTCCAAGTTGCTCTGAATGTTTCTATCAGGGTTCATTTGTAATGTTTTGTAGCTGGAAAGCTTTCCCAGTTTGACTCTTCAAACATGCTGTGAGTGTGCTTAGAACTTTCCATTTCAGCATCTGCTTGCTGAGATCATTACAGTGATAAGGAAAATAGCTTCTTTAAGCTGCTTTTCAAAAAGAAGTCAGTAGCATAGTCCTTCTAAATATGTATGAAGTGTTAGTGGAAAAGCATTTTTCTAAATCTGCAGTGTCCCTTTAGTATTCTTTGCTGATAACTTTAAAAGTCCAAACTGCAACTACAAAGGAGGGGAAGGAAGGAAAAAGAAACCCTATTCCTGCTGAGTGTTACTTAGGAAGCAGTGCATTTGGGAAAATATTCTGTTCTTAAGCATCTTAAGAACTGCAGTGCAGTAAAAGTGGTCATAATTCAGAAGAAAACATTTCAGAAAAGAAGTACTGAAGAATAGCAGGGTTGTGATTATGTTTTATGTACCTATGTGCATACATACATAGTATGTGGCTTTTGGAATAGTAGCCTAGTAGTTTCCTAGCCCTGTGCTATCAGGACACTTGGCTAAGGGAGGGAGCATAATGGGCAGTTCTTTAGAAGTCTGATATTGCCCTTTCTCATAAGGAATTTTCTCATAATGGAAATGCTGAATTTAATGAGATTATGAGCTAAGTATAAGTAATGCACTGTTTAAGATCTGCATAATATATGATGACCTCGGAGGCAATTTGCTACTCTGCAGGTGATGCGTAGTTGAGTAAAAATGTCATGATGCACAGGAGCAGTCAGAAAAGCAACCAGTAGATAATCCAAAACACTGTTCCAGCCATGGATATATATCTGTGACTGTAAGAAATGTTTGAAAAACTTTTATCTGAAATTCATTCTGATGTTTGTATTTAAATTACTAATGTTTAAATCTCTGATTTTTATGTAGGTTTAACTCATACGAATCACTGCTTGAAAAACTTCAAGTACATAATTATCAAAAGACTTAAAAATGCCACCCCGACCATCATCTGGTGAACTATGGGGCATCCACTTGATGCCCCCAAGGATCCTTGTGGAGTGTCTTCTCCCAAATGGAATGATAGTGACTCTAGAATGCCTCCGTGAGGCTACACTACTAACTATCAAACATGAACTTTTTAAAGAAGCAAGAAAATACCCTCTCTATCAGCTCCTTCAAGATGAATCTTCTTACATTTTTGTAAGTGTTACACAAGAAGCAGAAAGAGAAGAATTTTTTGATGAAACACGGAGACTTTGTGACCTGCGGCTATTTCAACCTTTCCTAAAAGTCATTGAACCAGTAGGTAACAGAGAAGAAAAGATCCTTAATAGAGAAATAGGTGAGATTTGTATTTAAACATAGCTAATCTGCTTAACTGGTTTCTCCTCTTCAAAATAGAAAATAAGAATTGATGTGCTGTGTTTGTTACCCTTTGCTGTATCTATCAAAGATTACATTTCAGAGTTGTTGCATCGAATGTCCCAACATGTTGATCACAGTTAAGCCAATATTTGTGAACTATTCTTTATTTCATTCACATGTGCATATATACAGTTGTACATGGGTTAATAGTGCATGTTTTTGCTAGTCGCCAGTTAGCAGGATTTCATATTAGTACAGAGCAAAACCTTATTGTACTTGTTTTATTTGGGAAGCAAATCTTGATTTGTTTTGAATTTTACAGAACAGATAACTAAGGGAAGGTACAAGAGGATTTAATTGCAAGTATTTAACTACATTTGCGGTAGTACAGTTTTTAATACTGCTTTGTCTTGCTTAGAATGCAAAATCTGATAAACAAGGTGTTTTTCTTCCCCCCCCTCCCCCTTTCAGACAGAACATTAGTAGGTGTGGGAAGGATCGTGATAAAAACACCCAAGTACATTGTTTTGAATCGTCTCTGGGGAAGCCTGTAATTTTTCCATTATCCAGGAGGCACAGGAAAACTAGCAAGTATTTTGGTATCTAGGTTAAGTATCTACATTCAGTGCAAGGATACTGTCTTCCTCTTAGTTTCTAACAGGTGTATGCTGCAGTGGTAGAGACTTATCAACTGGAAATACTTGTTTTAGGCTGCTCTGAATTGTTAAATTATCTAATTGTTGTAAATGCATCATGGGTAAACTTCTGTTTTGTGAAACATAGCCTGTTCAGGACTTGGGGAGAGTAGTGGCTACCTGACTATGCATGGAGATAAAATTGAAAGTTTTCAAATTTGAGCATTCATGCATGAATGTAATCTAATGAAAATAAATGGAGTTAGATTTGAGACTGAAGACTTGAGAGGAGTATGCAGATCTTTGCCCAAGAGTTAAGTTCATTATTTCTTAGGCTGCTATGGGAGCTTACAAAAAATGTGAGTTGTAAGCAAAGCTGATCATGGCTCTAAAAGTTATCAATGATTTTGTCAGAGTTTTAGGGAAAGTCAGGCACCACAGCTCTTGTGGTCCACTCAGAAAATTTTGTTTGCTGACTTCAAAAAAGTTTTACTGATTCTTTTCCTCCCCGAGGGTTATTAGCAACGAATGTGGTAATTTAAGGTTTGCAGGATTTCCAGTGAAAACGTATTGGGCTTCTAACCTTTCTTGTGATTACTGCTTTGTTCTTGAATGACATAAAAACAACTTGTATATGAAGTGGAAGCCAGTGGTTAACACAAGTATTTTAGGTTGTATTTTGCTTTAAATGTGCTTTTTTCAGGCAGTGGTAGAAGGAATCTTTAGTTTAATTTAGTTATCTGTTGTAATTATCTTTCCATGCTTCTGCAACATTGTAGGTTTTGCTATTGGCATGCCCATCTGCGAGTTTGACATGGTGAAGGATCCTGAAGTACAAGATTTCAGAAGAAATATTCTTAATGTTTGTAAAGAAGCAGTAGATCTTCGAGATGCCAATGCTCCGCACAGTAGAGCCTTATATGTCTGTCCTCCAAATGTAGAGTCTTCACCTGAGCTACCCAAACACATATACAATAAACTAGATAAAGGTAAGATAAATATTCATTGTAGGCACAATATTTTTGTGATTGAAATCAAAAAACACAGCTGGTGACTTAAGCAAATCACCGATTTATGTAGTATATTTGATGCACTGCATCAGTATCATAACCTTGACTTATTCAGAAAAAATTGCTTACTAGAATGTAGGTTCAAAAGGCAAGCAGCAAAACTTTACAAGAATAGCAAAAAAGTAATTTTAACTTCATAGAACAGTTACTGCTATTTTCTTGAAGACTGAATATTAGATATGGAGGTTGGTGGCCCTGCCTGTAGCATTGGGGTTGGAGCTTGATGGTCCCTGAGGTCCCTTCCAACCCGAGCCATTTTATGATTCTGTGATTTTATGAATAGTCAGTACTATTTGATGTATAACATTCTTAACCTCAAGGTGTAAAAGTTTTTGAATTTACACTTGAATCATAAATAAGCTTAGGGCATCTAGTTCCTTGCTGAAGTTATCAATCCTATGTTGGATTGGGCTATGAATCTTGTTTTTGTCATCTTGTAGTAGTAATTCTATGTGGCTTTGTTTCCTTAGAGTGTGAAGGGGTGATGGTTTGCTTGTCTTGAAAATGGTAGGCCTAACATTTCATATTTATTCTAGGGCAAATAATAGTGGTGATATGGGTAATAGTTTCACCTAACAATGATAAGCAGAAGTACACCTTAAAAATCAATCATGACTGCGTGCCTGAGCAAGTTATCGCTGAAGCAATTAGGAAGAAAACACGAAGTATGTTGCTGTCATCTGAACAACTGAAGCTCTGCGTGTTGGAGTACCAGGGCAAGTATATTTTGAAAGTGTGCGGCTGTGATGAATACTTGCTAGAGAAATATCCTCTGAGCCAGTATAAGGTGAGTAACATAATGAATTTATTTTAAAGTATGCTGAAAAAATCCTCGTGTGTGGAAGAAAAGTGATCAGTCTCATTATATATAGTCAAAAACAAAGAAAGTAAAAAAAATCTATTTCTTTAGGGTAATTGGCTTATACATATCTGACTCAAGCGTGCATTTGTTGCTGTATGTGCTTCAATATGTGGCCAGGGAAGGTAATTTCAAGTAGAATTTACATCACTCATTCAACGTTTTAAAAATGTAATAGGAGTTTCACTCTAACATGAGCAATAAATCAGTGGCAGGTTCTCTGAGAAGTATTCTATATTTCTGATGGCAAGAGATAAATAACATTTGAATGGGACTGATGCAGTGCAAAAAGAAATTAGATCGGATGTTGAGTTATGAGGCAACCATTACTTCTGAGAATCTTCTCCCTCCCTGCTTTATGGGTTGGGAGAAAAAAATAAGCAAGCTCTCTTGGCTTACTGTTAATTACATCAGTAAACTTATTAATCTTATGAAAGAGGAGTGGTAAACTTCCAGTACTGTATTTATCACTTAAATCTTCCTTGTTGCTACCCACCCTTCAGTGTCTTTGTTCTCTTACTGTTGTACCTGTGGCAGAAGTGGCAGAAGAGCCTCAGAGCAGTTCTTTCTGAAGTAGGCAACAATGTTACCCTGTATATTTTCTGACAGACTGCTGTTGCTATCTTTCTGAGAAACCTACTGTTGTAATAACAGCTCTCATTCATCTATCTAAAGTGGTTGACAGTCTGCTCTTCAGAGCTATGGAAGAGATAAGGGGGATGAGGGATCCTGAATACAGGGAAAAGGAACTTAATATTATGCAAGCTGGGGAAGAAGTGCAGGCATATGTGACTAATTTTGTACAGTCATGAGATCAAACACTAGACCTATTTGATCTAGTGTGGTTTCTTCAAAAGTATCTGGTATGCCTTTCTGTGCCACGGAAGAGCTTACTAATTACAGTCCAGAGCTGAACCTATCTTAACGCTTTGTAGTACTGTTGCCAGATGAATTATTTTCAGCAGTCACTCCTGAGCAGACACAATACAGGCTTGAGTGTGGCAGGATCAGTGTTGAGGTAAAGCTGGAAAGTGTCTGGACCAAAAATGAACAGTTCTGCATGTTCCCTGTGCTTTTTCTAACTGTGGCTAGGAGTATTAGAGGTACATGTGCTAGGCTGGTACAGTAGATTATAACGGCAGTATGCAAGGCTAACCTGCTTCTGGGAACATCCCTAATCTGGAACTGTTCTCTGCACTGTGCCTGAACTTAAGAGCCCTACAAGACACTTGTCTTTCTGTCAGCTCTCTTCTGTATCTGCAGTTCAGCATTCAACTGTTGTAGACATTGTTCATACATCAAAAATCTGCTTGAAATACTGCTGTGCCATTCTACCCAATCATGTATTTAAACTGCTGAATGTTGCAACAAAAAACACTGAAGGATTTACATAAAGGCACATACATGAGCTCTTGAAGTATGCTTTTATTTTTATGTTATTCTGAACACTTCTAGGTACTGATTACCAAGAGCATGCACTTAGAAAATATACTGAACTTTGGTTTTGTTTCCTACAGTACATAAGAAGTTGTATAATGCTTGGTCGCATGCCCAATCTGATGCTGATGGCTAAAGAAAGTCTATATACCCAGCTGCCACTGGATACCTTTACAATGCCGTCTTACTCCAGGCGTATCTCTACAGCTACACCTTACATGAATGGAGAAGCTACAGCCAAATCACTCTGGACTATAAACAGTGCTCTCAGAATAAGAATCCTCTGTGCAACCTATGTAAATGTGAACATTAGAGACATTGACAAGGTAAGGCAAATGCTGTATAGAATTATATGTAGTTTTCCCTCTTTTCCATAATTACATTAGGAAAGAAGTGTTATTTCTAACATTAGAAGATTAGACCACTTTGTTACTTAAATTTAAGCATTCCATGCTTAAAAATAGAGCCATGTTCTAAAATCTACAAGTTTTTGTATACTTCTGAAAAATGCATGAATCGTGGTATACAGCTAAAGGAGTGGTCTAGTTTATTTCATCTCAGTTTGTAACAGATGTGCTATCTTCCACATTTTAAACTATGAACATATTCAAGAGTACTGTACAGTAAGTGAGAATACATCTGATGAGAAGATGCCCGATAGCAAGCTGCTATCTTTGTTCTTAGAAGGGGAGATATGGGTAGACCAGTGAGAAAAGGCATGAGCAGCTTAATCCTGCTGAAGTCATATGGCAAGTCTCTACCTCGCCCAGAATTTATTTGGTCTTTTTTCTTTCTGTGGTTTGGCTCATAAAGAATTCGTCATCCCAATCTGTTTTTAGAAGCTCCTTTCAAGTTCATTAGTGTATTTTTTTAAGAAGTACTTCTACAACAGTAGTGAGGAAAAAGATCAAAACCTTTTTTTTTTTTTCCATAAGAGTATACTTACGTACTTGAAGAGCATGAATAAATTTGGATTGAGGAGTGGTGGTGAAACTGTTTGTTTTCATTTGCTTGCTGGGGAGAAGTATTGATGGGTGTTTTCTTTAATAGAAAGAAGAAAGCAATATCTTGTAATCATACTATATGTTGATAGGAATGAAAACTTTGTTTATAGTAGAGTTTCAAAAATAGTACTGATGTTAACATTACTTTCAGATCTACGTTAGAACAGGTATCTACCATGGAGGAGAACCTTTATGTGACAATGTGAATACTCAGAGGGTACCTTGTTCTAATCCCAGGTAAGATGCTAGAAAAACTATAGAGAACCTAAGTTTTGGGGCATTATGAATTATAGTATTGAAGAAATAAAGGCACTGTTTAGCATTATTCAGGTATATCTCATTGCTGGCAATACTTTAGCTGAAGAATATTTTTACATATTCCTTTATTTATAAATTTAATTCATTCAAATAAGTATTTTGTCCTGTAATGTTATGTATATTGGTATAGTCCCTGTACTGACCAGGTCTGTTTTACAAACACATTATGATTGACTCTGAAACTCCTATGTAATTACTCTTTAGTACCAGGAAATCAGCATAGCTCTGGGCAGCTGAGCTCTGATTTTTTACTTTGGATCTATAGCTGGTGTTCCAGTTGCAGGTTCAGATTCCAACATCAGCAAGAGGCAATGTGATGTAATGCAATCCACAAATTTGTTCCAGTGTGGTTGCAGAGCATGTGCTAAAGCAGAAGCACTGATGGGAATCATTTGGTAATGTGAAAGTGACTGCCAGGTCTGGGCTGATTGTTTCCAGGAGATTTGAATTGCTGTGAATTTTATCTTAAAAAATCACGTAAACTTTAAAGTGCTATTAGTGTGCAAAAAGAAGCTTTATATGAGTGTATATAAGCATACTGAGAACAAATATTTAAGAGATTCAATTTTTGCCTGTAACTCTGAATAAGGAGGTGTGAAATGTTAGCATCTGTTAGGATTAGGTGTGATATGTGTGTTCAAAAATAAGTTCTGACTTGCATTTTCTGTCTGCCTTCATGTCTTTGGAGGTTTCAGAGTGTTTTCTTTAAGTATGATTAGGTATTAACAGTAGAGGGTTTAATGATACGTGCAGGTTTTTAGGAAAAATAGCTTATTCCTCCTGCTTATCCCACAGATGGTTAAACTTTTTGTTCAAGCATAGCTGTTTTGAGGGAGAATCTTGTGGGAAAGGTGGTCAAGGACATAGTTGGGAAACATGGATATTGTCACACACAGATACATAATATATGAAATTAACACAAAAAATTAATGGTGTCCTTGGAAGCTGCTGCTGCTTCCAACTGAGAAAATAACCGTATTTAGCAGTTCAAAAGCACAGTTGTGCATGTTGAGAGAGAAGTCCTTAAAGAAGTTCATGAACATATATTCCTCTAGAATTAATCTCTGCTCTTATTACTATGATAAATAGAGTGATATCTGAGTTATTTCAGCAGTCTTAGAGAACTACAGAACTGAGAGCAGAATGAAAGCACTAGCTTTATTATTTATGGTTCAAACTACTTCATAATGATGCAGGGACTATATGGTAATGAAGTAGGAGAAACAGCGACTATGTACAAGGCTCTGAAGTGCTTAAGGAATAAGTGCAGTGAAAAAATGCTTATTTCCTTCCATGGAGTACTGTTTTGCTAATGCATTACAAGCTTGTGGGATAGCAAACCTGTCATTATGTTAAAAGGTTTTGAGGAAACCTTTACTTTCACAACTAAATGAGACAATATTTCAATTAGTGATACAATACGCAGTCATTTAAAGCGGTAACATGTTTCAGACTGCTGTGACTTTGCAGTTCCTTGCATTTTGACTGTTAATTGCTACCTATTGCATTTATTTACTATTTAAAAGCAACATAGTTAATACAATCAAGTAGAATTAAGCAAGCATTTGGGAAGTGTCCAATCGCTGCTAGCAATCTTGGTTTTCTTTTCTTTATGCAGCTATGGCAGTGTTGTTTTGTGTCACTGCTGCTGAGGAATCTCATCCATATATTCAACAATTCCCCTCAAACTTAGAGAAAGGGTTTGCAATATATAATTTGCTTGCTTAGCTCTGTAAATTGCAGTTCTAAAACATTTTTCTACAATCAAGTTCTAATTATACCAAGCATAATATATTAGCAAAAAAAAAAAATAATTGTTATTCTGTATAGTGTTTGTTGTGCATAAGAAAAATGTGGCCAGACATTACAAATACTGGGTTTCTATGTTACATTTTAAATTATTTGTTTTTTACTTTTAGGAATTAACAGTGTTATTTTTAGGGATATAACATTGTTTTTAGTATAACAGTTGACTGCATGCAGTTGTCTAGGACAGTCTCTTTTAACATGGTTTTAATCTGCTTTTTAAACATTGCAGATGGAATGAATGGCTGTTGTATGACATGTACATTCCTGATCTCCCACGTGCTGCTCGGCTCTGCCTTTCTATCTGTTCTGTTAAAGGCCGGAAGGGTGCTAAAGAGGTAAAATGCTTCATAGCTTTAGTAAACTAACAAGCAGAGGTTACTCAAAGTTTGAAAAGATACTTGGCAATTGCTGTTCTGGTTATTAGTCTCAATGTAATGTTTGATTAGAATCTCATTAAAATAGGGGTTTTTCTTATGTATCATTCATTTGTCAGTGTTATTTTAAACCACAAAAAGAAGCTTGCCCATTCAACACTAAATCATATCAGTACTATGTTGCCGGCCAGAAAAATCAGTGGTAGTCTTTTGAGGTCTGAGTACATAAGAAGAAAATATAACTTCTGTAACTTTCTTTCTGCTAGTCTGGAAATGTAACAAGTTGCTCTTAGATAAGAATGTTATTTCTTGTGACTCGCAATCAGAGATTTGATGTCAGAGATCAATTTCAGTGGTTCCACAACAATGAAGTAGTGTGCTAGATATGTGACTTATCAGAGAAAAGTGGACCTGAGCAAGTGCTGCCAAAACAAACACAAAGCAATTTCTGATATAATGATACTTCTTTAATTGTTTGCTTACTGCCAGCTTCAGTTGCCCAAGTGAAGTGGCATTCATAATAGCAAGGTTATGTACTTCACTATTTTCTGAAGTCTAGTTTCTGTTTCTGTCCTTCCCCATCCTAAACTGCTTGAAGTAGCAATAGAGTCCACTCAAAGCATGCCTTTCATTGTTAATGTAATTTTTATCCTTTTTTTACTTGACCTGCTAGCTTACTATCAGCTAGAGTTTAGGGTGGTAGGGAAAGCAGCCTGGTGTTTATTTTATGATAGATCAGCATTACTTGGTTTTGATAACATCTCTCTACTGCACAGATGGAAATAAGAAATGTTTGGTTGGGAGGGACCTAGTAAGTACTTAAACCTATGGTGAATCCCTATTATTGTTTTTTAATGTTTCTTTTTTGAAAATGTATATCCGATAATTAAAAGTTGAAACTGAAAAATCTCCTTTTAACCTCTTTAAGGAGCACTGCCCTTTGGCTTGGGGAAATATAAACATGTTTGACTACACAGACACTCTTGTATCTGGGAAAATGGCTTTGAATCTTTGGGCAGTACCCCATGGACTGGAGGATTTGTTGAATCCTATTGGTGTTACTGGATCAAATCCGAATAAGGTAAGCATGTGCAATTGAACTGCCTCCTCAGGAACGTATATTCAAAATATGCTGTATTCTAGCTAGCGTAATTCAACAGAAGTAGTAATCTAAATTCCCTTTACATAGGAAACTCCATGTTTAGAGCTGGAATTTGATTGGTTTAGCAATCCTGTGAAGTTTCCAGATATGACAGTGATTGAAGAGCATGCCAATTGGACGATCTCACGTGAACTGGGCTTTAATTACAGCTATGCGGGACTGGTAAGAACTTGCTTTCTAAGAATAGCTACTAAAACATCAAAGTATTTGCTGCCTTGTTTTTTTTCAGTATGCTAGTGATAGATTATCTTAATCTATTACTGACCAGCACTTAGAAGAGAAACTGTCTTACCATGCAAACTGTAAGCATGTTTTTGACATATTTAAATAATTGATTCAGGTGTCTGAACTACTCAGTCTAACTTCTGAAAAGTTGTGATTTTCATTCATTGATACTGCTTTTTTATTGCAATTTCATTTCTTGTAGGCTCATTCACAGAAAACTTTTATTACTTATCCTTTCCCAATTCTTAAATATTTGGTAGGTTTGAACTGTACTGTGATTGTTCCTTTTAAATTTGTGGTATCTTCAGGTTTGAGGGCCCAGGCTTTCTATATTCAAGTATTGTGTGTTTTATGGCTATTCTTAACACTCCCTTTAGTTAGGGAGATAAGAGGCAATACAGTATATATTTAAAATCAGAGTACTGAGTATTGTCCAGCCTTATCTGAAAGTTATAGAATGCTCGCTTGAAACGGTCAAAATTAGCCAAGCGGTCACTGAAGTGTGATTTCTGTATAGATGTTATAATACAGAGAACATAACTATACTTAGTTTAACATGAAGTGCGTTATACTGCATTTAAAATCAACTACTGTACTCTGCATAAGGCGTAACTTATATAGGTCCATTATTATTTTGAATATGAAACAATTCTCAAATATTAAATCTAATTTACTGTCCCACAGCTCTAGAATTTCAAGTTTCTGATATTGACTGCAACAGGGTAAATTCATTTTCCTTCTGGTTTGGACTTAAACTATGATCTCTCTGACCCATTATGCAAGTACATTTTACCCTTTTGTGACTTTCCCTTACAATTTGGGGTAACTCAAAATCAAGATGCATATGTGCAATTAATTGTTTGCTCAGTACCATCAATTTGATCTTATATCAAGTGTTAGGGTGCTTGTAAAGTCATTTATCCATTCACTTCCTTACTGAATGTCTCTAGCTTTACTACTTGCACTGCATATGTAAACATATTTTAGAATATGTTCTGGAAACTTTCATGTGCCACCAGAGAAGTCTTGAATCCCTCTTTTTTTTTTTTTTGAGTCCTGTCCATGTGCTTCAGAATGCTAATAAATGAGCGTGTTGGTGCACTGAGATGCCAGCTATCACAGTGCTAGCAGGTAAAGGTGCTAAAAGCTCTGAAGTAATAGCTTTAGATGGAAGCTTGAAGGCAGAAATATTTTTGTCCTGGGCAATAGGACTGAGCACATCACGAGAACATGAATATAGAGAATTGAGTCTGTAGTATATGCCATGGTGCATAATCTGACAACTGTTTCTGTATTTGCTTGTATTCTTAGAAGTAATACACTTCACCTCTTAAGAAGTGCCTCAATCCCTTGTCTGAAAACTTCAGATTGTTCCTTTCTTCAGTTTTTGTTTGGAGTTTATTTGCTATTGTTCCTGGTTTTGCTGGCTAGTTATTGAGTTTTGTTTGGTGGGTTTTCTTTAGGCTAGATGCATTGGAAAGACTTTCTATAAAAGCCAGGCAGGTGCCTGCCTCTCTTCCAAAGTACTAGTTCAGTCTGCTGAAAATCACTATCAACGAGACTGGTTGATAAAGTCCAGCTCATTCTTGCCTTGTATATTTTTAGTGGAAATCAGAAAAATGTAGAACAGGAGATTACTACTGTGTGTTTTTCTGTTCTTGAAGTGTTTTACAGTTTTGGCATTTTGAACATTAATGGAGTTGGTGGTTCTTCCTTTTTTCTTTTCTTGTCAGTATTGTACAGAGGTCCAAATGAGTTAATTTTAATTACACTGTTCAATCTGCATATAATTTTTGGAAAAGCTTTAAGTGTCAAACTTGTTTGTTACAGTTGTATTATACATAAAAACAGTAATGCAATCTAAGATTTTTTTGCTGTGTAGTTGATTCTGACATGGAGACATTAGAGATTGCATCATTTCAAATGTTGCTTTGCAAAAAACACATGATATGGAGTAAGAAATGGGAGATGTAGAAGAAAAACTGAACTTGACTCATGAGCTGTGAAATATTTAAGCTGTAGTATCAATACTTCTGTCATTGGTCTTAGCTGGTTCTAATAGAAAGTCTTAGTACATGCTGAAATGAATTTTAGCTAGTTCTGCTCTTTAGGGAGTATTTAACACTAGTTCTGTCTAATATTTTTGATCATTCTGTTATGTAAGCTTTCCTACAGTGTTCTACCTTTACTTACCTAGCCTCACCCTCCTGTACTCTGCTTTTTCAACTCTGATTCTTTCAGCCCATTCAACAGTTCTTATAAATCTCAAAACTGGAGACAAGCAATCTGTTTCATTTTGTGCCATGCTAGGCTGCTGTTGTTCATTACATGCCAGCTACTACTATTTCTCCACAAAGCTGACTGGTGAAATGTACTTCTTGTCCCAGCAGTGAATAAAAGCAGTTATAGAAATCAAAGGCCTAGTCTTCGATTTCTCTATTTTAAACTTGTAAGTTCTCATTTATAGTAGAAGGAAACAATAAAGCGGTATTATGTGTTGTATAAATGTTCCTGTGCTGTAAAAGTAGTTCTACGTTGTATGACTGTACAATGAGGAGGGTTAATGGAGCACTTTCTCTCTGCAGAGTAACAGGATAGCTAGAGACAATGAATTAAGAGAAAGTGACAAGGAGCAACTGCGAGCCATATGTACACGAGATCCTTTGTCTGAAATCACTGAGCAAGAGAAGGACTTCCTCTGGAGCCACAGGTACCAAGGAAAAACAAAAGCAAATGCACAAAACAAAAATGACATTTTGTACAAACAACCTTCATTCTCTTTTTCAGACACTACTGTGTAAATACCCCGGAAATTCTGCCCAAATTACTTCTGTCTGTTAAATGGAATTCTAGAGATGAAGTGGCTCAGGTAACAAACAAATGTCACTGAAGAAGTTCTGAGTTCTGAAGAAGCTTTAAAATCTGGATTATTTTGTAATATAACATAAGTTGTTCTTATCTGTTTTCATTCAACATATCATAATTTGAGTTGCCACTGTAATTAGTTGATCATTTTGTGTTTGTTGTATGCAATCCATTTGCCTGTTCCAGGAAAGGACTTGTGTTCCCATTCTTGAGTTCAGTCTGAGTCTCAGTTTTTTTCTGGTGGCATTACTTGAATCCTTGTTATGTTGCTGATTATTATTTCAGTGTGAGATTTTGTTTTTGTTCATTTACAGTGGATAAAATAAGTCAAGTGGCACTAATATCAAATTATTTTTTAGAAGGGAGTGACAAGTAAACAGTTTATATTCAGCAGCAGCTTGTGTGGTTATACTTTCTATCAGGTGTGTATTACAACTTCTTTCTCTTCAATGTGAATGTGTAATGTACTTGAACTTTATTGTCCACAGATGTACTGTTTGGTGAAAGATTGGCCTCCAATCAAGCCAGAGCAAGCAATGGAGCTTTTGGATTGTAATTATCCAGATCCAATGGTGCGAGCTTTTGCAGTTCGGTGTCTAGAGAAGTACTTAACAGATGACAAGCTGTCTCAATACTTAATCCAGCTGGTACAGGTATATAACATTTTGGTATTCTTGATGCCTTATGTACATTTGATAATTATGCAAGTTTAAAATACAAGAAAAATTAAGACACTGTGAAAAAGATGATAAGAATCCTGTTTTCAGTGCAGATTACATTAGGTGGAGCTCTGAAAGATGAAATATAGTTACTTTTCTGTTGTGCTCTGGTTTCTGGCGTTGGTATGAAATGTCAAAATCCTGCAGAGATGCAGAACTGTTCTACCAACTGGAACAAGCAACTGTTTCAGCTGTCTTGCATATGGTAACACACACACAGAAGCATCTTTTTTAAAATGTTAAGCATGCTAAAGCTAAATATTTGATAACAGTATGGGAAGCATCAGATGGTAAGCTTTTGAAATAAAAGCAGGCTGTGCACTCTGTTAGCAGATATTCTTTAAATGCTAACATGTGTATTAAAATACCAAGGTCAGGCAGTCTACAGAACTTCTACATCAAATTTGAATTGCGTTCTATTTAACTGTCTTAATCTACATGCTGTTCACCAAAATAATAAACGCAGGTGATTTTTTTCCAACTTTTCTCTTTGTCTTTCACTAGGTTCTGAAATATGAGCAGTACTTAGATAATCAACTCGTGAGATTTTTACTCAAGAAGGCACTGACCAATCAACGGATAGGACACTTCTTCTTTTGGCATTTAAAGTAAGCTTAATAATATCATGAATAGTAGCGATGAGATTCCTACAAGCTTTAAAAAAAAAAGTTCCATATGGTACATACTCTTCTTTTGGAAAATGTTACCACTTGACAAATACAAAGCAAACTTTATTTTAAGAGTCTGAATGCACAGTTTGATAATAGAATGCATTCCTTGCAGTTTTTAAAGCAAATTAGTAATAGACAGTGAATCTTTATATCACCTGCTTCATTTTGATTCTTTCCTCTAATAGCAGTTATTCTAAAAGCAGGAGAGTCTCAGATTGCTGGAAGCTTCCTGTATAATTAGCTGCTTACAACTTTCTAGATTTGTTATAGATCCTTTCACAAGTCTTTCCAAGCATTTTTTTCTCAAAACTGAGCTACTTCTGAAATCAAGCCAGAAAGCTATGGAAAAATGTTCCTTAAAAATCCCTATCTCTGCAGACTTGTCTTCAGAAGGCTGTAACACCTTTGTGCATTTACACATAGCTGAGGCCTAAAGCAAGCCACGCAACTAGACCAGATAAACCTTTGAAAAATTATGGTTCATAAATCCTTATTAAAGGCCACAGAGATTGGTAGCCAAAATATCTGTTCTTCTGTATTAAGTATAGTATGGGTTCTTGTAAGTTCTGTTGTTGAGAAGGCTGAATATAACTCAGACTTAGCATTCTGAGTTGTATCCAGATCTCATCTGAAAATGCTGTTCTAAGATGAAACACTAAAGATAAGACATAGAAATAAGAAATACTTGTTTTCTACTTGTTTTGATAATGACCGAGGATAATGGAATAACTTGGCTGACTAATTTATATGAGGGGATGTAGAATTATGTGAAGTTTGAGAGGAGGTAAGAACAAGTTAACTAGCTTGGGATTAATGACAGAAGGAGAAGATGAAACTGTTTAGAAAGCTGGAACTTGAATTGAAACTGGAGGCTTAGTGGTTTGTTTCATTTTTTGACAAGAATGGGTTTTGAATAAAGTATAAATAACAGAGAAGGACAGGATTCAGCAAGAAGGGGAATGGGGTCAAGAGAAAAGGAAGTCTGAAAACTGCTGGATTAGTTGTAAAAGGTAAGGAACTCTGCTGATCAGTTAAGTCAAAATGAGATGAGCTGTGGGAGGTCAACACAAGTTACTTAACTGGGAAGGACCCAGAGGCAGTCTTCGGGAAGATGTTACAGGTATAATTTCATTTTTGGCACCTGTAAGTGGTCTTGTCTTAAAGCTATAACTGTTCTTCCTCTCTGTGTAGGTCTGAAATGCACAATAAAACTGTAAGTCAGAGGTTTGGTTTACTTCTGGAGTCCTATTGTCGAGCATGTGGAATGTACCTAAAGCATCTGAGCAGGCAGGTGGAGGCTATGGAGAAGCTGATTAACCTCACAGATATTCTCAAGCAGGAAAAGAAAGATGAGACCCAGAAGGTATTTTAAGCTGTCCACACATCAAAACTTTTGCTACTTAGTCATAGGAATCACTAGAACTATTTTACTGGATTAACTAGAAACATATTTATGCTACTAGCTTCAGTAGGTAGTATCTTGGAAGCTGTAGTATTTTGTGTGCATCTTGCTACTGTCTGTCTCTTAATCTAATGGAACCTGAGTTGAGAGCTTTGATTTGTGTAACCTGTGGCAAAGCAGAGTTGCTGATGGTGGAACTGTGCAAAACCATGCTTAAAACAAAAGCTGAAACCTGATTCTTATTTCTTTTACATTTAGTCAGTGTTCTTACAATCTGAATGTAATTTTTTTTTAGGTGCAGATGAAGTTTCTTGTTGAACAAATGAGACGTCCAGATTTTATGGATGCTTTACAAGGCTTTATCTCTCCTCTTAATCCTGCTCATCAACTAGGAAATCTTCGGTATTGTCTTCAGTTCTGAAACTTATCCAGATAATTAAGTAAATGCTTAGTAAGGTTAACATCAACAGCATTACAGTCAAATGCTAACATACTAAATATTGGGTTTGTTTAAGTGAAGTAGTTTCAATGCAATGATGTAATAAATTAGAGAACAACATGATAATTTGCTATCTACCTGTTAGATGGTAGAACTGCAGCCCTTTTTTTTGGGTGTAAGGAACACTCACATTTTTCCTTTCACAAAGGAAAAATTAGTGTAGCTAACTCTTTGCTTGTAGTTAGCCAATGATTAGCATTGCAGTTACTAATGTAAATTTGAAGATGAAAACAGTGGTAGGTTTTCAGTTACCCGTGCATACTTAATTTCATACTTAATTTGATACCAGTTCAAATATTTTGAAGAAAATGGAGATTGTAATAGTGTTATGGAAATGTGATATGAGAATCTAAATATCCCTATTTCATATATATCTTTTTTTTATAGGCTTGAGGAGTGCAGAATAATGTCATCTGCGAAAAGGCCCCTGTGGTTAAACTGGGAAAACCCAGATATTATGTCTGAATTGCTATTTCAGAACAATGAGATAATCTTTAAAAATGGAGATGGTAAGGTTCACGTGACAATTCCATTGTTATATTTTAACATGTATTTTTAAACAGCTTTAAAACCACCACAACAAGTTTATGTTCATTCTCACCTACCTACCAGCCAATTTTTTCTTCAGAGAATAAAACCTACATTAATCTATACAAACCTTATTTCAGTTTACCACTCAAAAGTGGTTATTTCTAAAAGAAATAAGATGTGACAGTATTCTGTGTTATGAAACTTGCTGTCTTATCTATTTGATTATTCCAGACTTACGTCAAGACATGCTGACACTTCAGATAATTAGAATTATGGAAAACATCTGGCAAAACCAAGGTCTTGATCTTCGGTAAGCATTAGAGGTCATTCTTAAGCAATTCTGTTCCTAATGGTTTATGCTTTGGTTTGTTACTAGAGTTTACTTCTCTACTACCTAAAGGTAGTAAGTAAAATGCAGTATGAATGCTTTTGTATATTTTTATAACTTTCAGTTAGCTGAACAACTGGATTCTGTGAAGGTAACAATCCCATTTGAAAAATGTTTGTCTCATTCAAGTTACTGTGAGGGATCTACATACCAGGAATGGCTACCAGACATCACACAAACAAGCCACCTTATAGTCTGCTGATAGTATTTGTAGCATTTGCTTTGAACGGGTTACCAAACTTATAGTCTTCGGCAAATAAACAACTTATAAACCAGAGCAGAGAAGCTCACCTCCATGGCAATACCAGCGGTCAGCTCTGCTGCTGGTTACTCACTGCACTGGTGTTCCGGTTTCTTAGATCAAACAAAGTATTGTTGATTTGTGGTTTTGCTGTGTTTTTTTTATCACCAAAAACTTTGATGTTCCAGTGTAGCTACAAGGCTGTTTTCCCTCTATTAGTGAGATATTTTTTACCCTCATAAGGAAAGAAAGTTCAGGAGAGAAAAGGGTTTCCTTAGAAGCATGACTCTCTCCAAAATCTTTTGAGAGGGTGTTGAACATGGTTGTTTCTTTCAGTATTTGAATAAAAGACTGCCTTGACTTCTCTCAGAAAAAAACATTTCAAATGCAACTGACAGAAGAAATGCAGATTTGGTGATGGTAGGGGCAGAGAACTGTGGGGAGGGGAAAAAGGGGGAAATAAGAGGTAATTTCTACTTGTAAAAAAGAAATAAGTTGCTGAGTCTATCCTTTGAGTTTCACTTACAGATTAAAGAATAATTTATGAACTCTAAAGAGCATATGAGTAAATGGCTTTCTGGGTATAGTTAGTCCATTAATATCTGGATAAATAATAATGTTGCTGATTATAGATTCCAATTACAATTTTGTATTATGTTCAGGTACTACTTGAAAACTCATTTTGAATGTTCCATGCATGCAACACAGTGTATTACCTGCTACTTCTGCAAAGGAATTCATAAGCACTTTCTGAATGCTTAGATTCTGACTCTAGTATTTCAGTTTTAATATAGTTGCAAAGATAGTGTCAAATTATCCTGCTTGCCTTTTTAAGAGGCTTCTCCAATGGATTCCCAAGGCCTCCAAAAATGCATTAATAAAAGTTTAAGAAAAAATTTTATCCTGATATGAAACTAAAGAGTAGCACTGATGGATACATGTTACAGGACTAATGTCCGTTATGCTTTTTTCACAGAGCCAATGACAATATACAACACAACTATAAAACATTAAATCAGATTTTCATACCCTAAAGTCAGTAACATAACACTTGACTAGTCAAGATCATAAAACAAATGCCTTTTGCTCGCTGTCTTAAAATGTTTTATTGAAAAAGAAAAATCTTTTCTCTTACAGGATGTTGCCTTACGGTTGTTTGTCTATTGGTGACTGTGTGGGACTCATTGAGGTAGTGAGAAGTTCTCATACAATCATGCAAATTCAGTGTAAAGGAGGCTTAAAGGGAGCATTGCAGTTCAACAGCCATACCTTGCATCAGTGGCTCAAGGACAAGAACAAAGGAGAAATGTGAGATTTCTTGTTGCTGGGTTTTCCTTGTTCACTTGCTCTTTTTGATGGAAGCTTCAAGAGAACTAAAACGTATCCAAATGGGAAATAGTCTGTATTTTTCCCTGCTCTCATTTGCCTAATAGCCCTGTTTGTATTTTCTCTGTATTTAATGAGTTGAGTAGTTATGACTTCTCAGCAATAAAGCAAGTTGAAGTCAGAAGAATTAAGGCGACATGGCTTAACTGTAGCTTCTCCAAGTGAAAGCTCGTGCCTGTCTTTAGAAGACAGACTGTCATTTTAATAGCTTGTTTATTGTTCCATATGCTTAACTGTAAATACTTCTATTTCCAGTGTATACTGAATTTCTTCCTTCAGTTAAGTCTAAGAACTCTACTTCATTGAGTGAAAATGGTAGAATTGGTTCATACCTTTTAAATAAATTGATAATTTTGTAGTATTAAAGTATATGTAGCAATGTGTTTTCTTTGTTTTCAATAGGTATGATGCAGCTATTGACTTGTTTACACGTTCTTGTGCTGGCTACTGTGTTGCTACCTTTATACTGGGCATTGGTGATCGTCACAACAGTAACATCATGGTGAAAGATGATGGACAAGTAAGATCTATTTTTGCAAGTACATAGCCTAATATAACTTTTCAATTTGATGTGAGTTTGCTTTAAAAAAAAAAAAACACCTGAAAAATGAGGGATGAGCAATTTTACAATTACATCCTTTAAACAAGGAATTACTAATCTTAAGATACCTTTTTGTCTTTCCAAGCTGTTTCATATTGACTTTGGCCACTTCCTTGACCACAAGAAGAAGAAATTTGGCTACAAAAGAGAGCGTGTGCCGTTTGTCTTAACACAGGACTTTTTAATAGTGATTAGTAAAGGAGCCCAAGAATGTACCAAAACAAGGGAGTTTGAAAGGTAAGTACCTTTCTTAAACCATTTAAATTTCAGGGAATTTTATACATAGAATGCAATTCTGGTGACCTTTAATTGTTTCATGTAAACAAATATTTCTCACTCAATGCTGTAAGAGAGCGGATGTTCCTGTATTCAGTGCATTCTGAAGAGTAGCTAAGGATGAACAGTAGCTTTGTAAGAGTGTGGAACAGAAGTGTATCTCTCACTGATGATCACCAGGGAAGCACTGTTCACAGCAGTTGATCAGGAAACTTGCTTTATGATCTGAAATGTCACCACAAATAAGTAAAATGGCTCTCTGTACCCCTTTAGAGTTGTTGAACGTTTGCATAAATTGAGAATTGAGGCTAGAAATGTTGACTATTGTGCCAGTCTGACCACTACCAAGTCTTACAGCAGTTAAAACAATCTAAGTAGGAAGATAAAGATGTCTGTCTTAACATTGGTTGGATTTTGTTAAACTATGAATGTCTACCTTTTATCTGTATATAGTTGCTTGAAAATCTTTTTAAAGGTGAAAAAGAAAATGCATCTAACAAGGCAATATACTGAGTATTGTCTTTTTGTGGGTGTGGTTTTTCTTCTGTCTCTTCTAGGTTTCAAGAGATGTGTTATAAGGCTTATCTAGCAATTCGGCAGCATGCCAATCTGTTCATAAATCTCTTCTCCATGATGCTTGGCTCAGGAATGCCAGAACTGCAGTCCTTTGACGATATTGCATACATTCGAAAGACCCTTGCATTGGACAAAACTGAGCAGGAAGCTCTTGAGTACTTCATGAAGCAAATGAATGATGCTCACCATGGTGGCTGGACAACAAAAATGGACTGGATCTTCCACACAATAAAGCAACATGCTTTGAACTGAAATGAAAGTGAAGAAAATGAGAACTAATAACCCGCTTTGTGGGTACTACACTGTTAATACCTGTTAGCAGCAAAGACTGGTTGCATAGGAATTGCACAAACCATGAATGATATTAGAACTTACGGCAAGAAAAAAGACGAACTGTTCAGACAACTGTTGAAAAACAATGTAAAACAGGGTTTCAGATAGCACTAAAATTGTACACTTCAAAAATTAAGCTTTAGTATGATGTGTGACTTCATGTTATGCCTTAAGCCCAAAAAGGTAAACTTGGGAAGAATGTTTCCTTTTTTCATTTGATAGGATAAATTAGAAGGAAAAAGAAAATAGTGCCAGCATGAATATAGAGTCCATCACATATTATCTTAGGTCTGGTACAGCAGGTAGAGACTATGCTGGAATGAGAAGCATTGAAAGAAAGTTCAAGTGGTAGTTAATATTTAAATGCAGTGTAGTTTGAAGGGAAGGAGTTTAAGCTCAAAGATCTAAAAATAGTGAGAGGACAGTGCCTTTTAAATGTGCTCAGAGGCATTAACATACATGGGGTTTAGATGATCCTTTGATTTCTGGGTCTGTCATCTGCACAGTTTCAGAAAACAGTAGGAAATAGGCCCATTCAGTATGGTGTTTCTTCTGCTCAGTGTTTCTAGGGGTGCAATTCATACCTTCACAAAGAAACTTTTCTTATCATCCCCCAAAACTGACTAACCTGGAAACCGAATGGTCAGAATTGGGTTTAGTGCAACAAAGAGTCGTAGTGTTCATCTTAGGTTTGCTTTAATCTAACTTGAACTGAATAGATTTTTTTCATACATGTTTTCCAAGAACCTAAAAAAAGGTGAGTTATTAAAATTATTGAAAGATTATTTTTTTATAAAGGCTATTTATATAATAGGAACTATTATTAATATATATTCTTTATTTACATGATTTGTCCAATATTCACTCTTTTAATTTTGCAGCCCAGTTCTATCTGTCCAAGGCTCCCACTTCCCTTAATGTTACTGAAGGTGACCAGTTATAGGACCAAATTCAACCCTGGTGAAAGAGGACACAAGTGCCATTGAAATGGTGGGGGAGACACCCACTAATGCCAGAGGTGAACTTGGCCTAAGACTCTTTAAAAATAAGTAAAAATTGGGACAACACTCTTCACGCTACTGAAGTGATACGCTGGCTATTCAAGGAACGTATGTTTAAACCCTCAGCTTTTGGGTCCAGCATTTCTCCTCTTTCTTCCTCCGCTCTGGAAGTGGTTGTTTAATCCAGTAGCTGATACATCAGAAATAGCTGTTTAAATTTTCAATATGATCAATAACAAGCAGTTCAACATGCAGCAGATATGTTGGCTAGCTCAAAGCATGTGGAGTTACCAAACATCTTATAGCTTTGTCTGTTTTGTGTGTGTGTAATATATATTTGTAAATCTAGTTGTTGTCCTCCAACACAATTATGATGTGTGCAATCAGTTAAATTGGCACCACTTTTTTGAAACTGTTCAGAGTAAAAAGGATGTCAGATTGCCCTCATGTAGGACTGTTTTTCTAACTACTAAAAAGGTTGTTTCTTTTTTTTAATTAGTGAAACCCATGATTCTGAGGGTGATGTTTGCCCTAACATTTTAAGCTTGCTAGATTGGCAGCACTTGAAGTGAATTCCAAAGGTCTGGGGCTTTCGGGGTTTCAACTCATTCACTTCCAAACACACACCGAGGTGCCACTCAGAAAGTGCAATACCACATGTAATATAAAATATGCTGACAGCTGGTGTTAGATTAGAATATAAGTATATAAATAAACTGTACTTTGTGCAGGCTGTACTGATGAGGTAATGAGTGGTTGGCTTAATTTAGCAAATTGTAATATATTTTAAAAATGTGCAATCAGTTTCATTATGAAAGACTTTGGGGATTGTAAAGCCAGGATTTTGGTTTTTGAAGATCCTTTCATAGTCAAGCTCTTGCAGTTAATTACTGTACACATAGATATTTGACAATGTTGTGGGGGGAAAGGTGTCTTTGTGAAAACTACAGAAGTTCCAGGAGTAGTGTGGGAAATGTGAAGTTTTTTCCTTAGTTCTACTAAATTCTTTGGAGTAGTCCAACAGACTTCCCATTATTCTGTATTGACTGTTACATATTCCTTTTGTTTTTTCATATGAATATTTTTACTTCTGCTAACCTTGGTCATACTTTCTAGAGCAAAATTACTTTTGTACATATTACTTTGCAGTCAACACTAATGGTGTAGCTCTTTGAAAACATGGCTTTGTTTCAATGAGTTTAAACTGTTTTGTTTGCAAAATCTGAAACCCTGTTGGCTATAACTCTTAATTTAACAGAGTAAAATTGTTGCACAAATGCCACATTAGGTGCTACATGATCATTATTTATCTATTAATGAAACAATGTTTTACTTTTTTTATATAGGAGGATGGTTGGACTTGTCCAACCAAGATGGAAAGATAACTCAAATCTTTTGCATCCTATGAGCCCACCCTCTTTTGTACTTTACCCCTTCTTAACAATATACTTGTGTAAATATGGGTATAAATGTCTTTCAGTTCAAGCATACAGTGTTTTGCACCCTTTTTGCACAAACAGAAAGGTATGAGAAATCAGGCTCTGTTTCCAAAACTTACTGCAACTAAATGCTGTGCATGAGCTGTAGAAGTTCATACGGACATCAAATAATAAAAGAAAGGAAACATAGTGATATAGACATACTGTGATGCGGGGTAATTATAGTTGGTTTTATTTTTTTAATGGGGAAGATCGTGGCGTTAAGCTATTGTTCCTACTGTAACCAAGGTGGGCATTTGGAAAACATTCTGCTGGTGTTTCAGGGGGGAAAAAAGGGGTTTTCAGCTTTAAAGCATTTAATTCTAATTACCTTACCTTGTTACACCACTTTTGTGATATAAATTCTCTGAAGATAATGGAGTTACTATTGACTTAGGTTGATGTAAATAGGGTGATGTCATCTATTCTCAATATCAGAAATAAGATCTGCTTACTGACTGTGAAAGCACCTGTAACTGAGCACTAGATTGTTTTGGATTGCTTGGAATTGGAACTCTTATTTTCTTTAACTATTCCAACTTCGTGGACATTGGAAAATGTTCCCTTTATTCTGAGTATCAAACGCACAAAGCACTAAGCAGCCTGTTTTGAGCTTGAGTTAAATCTGAACACACTGCTCCTGCAAGACTTGGTAAGAAAACTGCTGGAGCAAGGAGCCCAGGGGTGGGCAGTGTATGTTATTGCAAAGCATTAGGAAGAAATTGGTGAAATATCACTTTAAAGACTAACCTCATCAACTGTGAAGCTGGTCATGTTTGATTTAATGACGGATCAAGCAGGTTGCTGCTGATTAGTTTTTTTAATACATTCTTTGCTTTCCTGGAGGTAGCTCAAAAAGCACCTCTGACTTGTGCACAACTTCTGTTCAAAAGGAGTGCATTGGCAGGTTTTTTCAGACATAATTTCAGCATAAATTGGGGAGAAGGGGGAGAAGGCATTTAAGTGTTTAAATAAAACCAAAGTTGTCAGTGCTTTGGTATCTTGTGGAGAAGATAAGCCTACATATTAAAGACAATTTAGAATTTACTGAGCTCATAGAGAACTCTGTATGTGCTGACCCTGCTGCTGGTCTTCTGGAGGACTGGTTTGGTTTTTCAGCTTTCCTTTCCATGTGAAATGTTAAAAGCCCTTTAGGAATCAGTAGCATGTGTTTGTGGACAACTTGAAGGCATCTTCTTTGTCATTCTACAACTGGCATGTTCCTTGTCATTTAATAATGGCACGTTTCAGCACCTGTTCTAAATGGTAATTGTGAGTTCCTCCTGTTTTGCATGTCTGTACAGGTTGCAGATGTGGGCTGGGCCCATTCAAAACAAAAATGAAGCCACTGAAATTAGTGTTCTGTTGATGTCTTTAACATTTTTTAATATATTACAAGTTAATGAAAATGGTGTGGTATTACAGAGAGAATTGTAATTTGCTGCTTCTGAGATCTTTTTTTAAAATTCCCATGGTTTCTTTTTCATTTTTGTTTTAGTTTTACTTGAAAGAAGAACCACACTTTCATTGTTGGTTTTATATGGCTTTCATTTGTGTTTTTTTTAATACTATGTAGCTGTAGATATCATTGCAGTTTGTTGAATCCCCATTTTAATTTTGTAATATACGTTTCATACAAATAATGAATTTTTATCTTTTTTGTGCTGGAAGTTGTCTTAGTTTAGGATAAGGTTCTCTCTGTCCAAAAAGATGGGTAGCTCACCACCCAGCCCTGAAGTTGACAGTGTGGGTTGGTTTTTAATCTGTGTTCTTGAAGGAAGCCAACTAGAAACTGCATATAGAAGTTTTCAGTTTGCATACACTAACCAAGGCTAGGTGCCCTGGTTTTGTGAAGTTCTGATTTCACTGTGTGCAGATATAACACAGATGTCATTAGAAACACTCTAGATTCACAACAGGAAATGAAATCAGAATTAGGCTCGGTGTATATTGAAGTCCCAGACTACTTGTTCATATGATTCAGTATGAAAGGTGCTCTTTTAATGATAGGAATGGGTACTAGCTGCCTCATTAAATCCTTGACTGTTTTATTTGGAAATAGTCTGTCTTTATTAACTAGCCTTTTTAGCTCTCTAATTCATAACTGTGGTAATTTTGTCTGTAGTAGTTTTTTATCTGTGAGACTTTGAGGTTTATTGCTTATTACCTTAAAAAAAAAAAAAAAACACCTCTTAAATGTTTCCTCTTCCTACTTGTGAACCCACACTCGGGAGAAACACAGTTGTTCTTAATGCAGTATTTAGAGTACAGCATTCTTAACTTCTGAGCTTTCTGAGATAGAATTCAGAAGTACAAGATGTGCTGTGTTAGCTTTTCTGACTGCAGTACAGAGCTGGGCCCCTCTGTCCACATCCCTTCCTTCTCCAACACTCCTCTCCCTGAAAGTGGACAAGCCCATAGTCTAAGAGTAACTTAAAATATTTGCAAGAGAAGATTAATTTAAGCACTGCTCTGTTAGCTTTCCCACTGATTTGCATTAATGTCTTAAGTGTCCTTGCTGTCATTTCTGTATGTGATACAAATTTTTTTCAGCATAAAGGAGGCCAAAAAATACACTATCTTGACTCCTGATGTTCTGGTGCCAATTCCCCAGTAACTATAAAATAGTTTAGGAACCGTTTAGTTCAGTGTAACACTGTCAATTTAATTAGGAATCTGTTCCAGTATTAGAATTACTCCCAGTTAAACCTGGCAATTGTATTGCTGAAGTTACTGAAAGCCTGATTCAAGCAGAAGCTATATTTCCTGAGGCTCTTACGTCTGCTGTAGTTCAATCCACGAGGTCTAAGATGTGTATGTTTACAGCTGTGGTCTAATTCTGCTTTGTTTCATTGGTCTATATATAAGCTCAATTTGGATTTAGTAATAGTGTTCTAAAGTCTAAATTATCAACTGTACCAAGCTGCCCTGAGTTGTCGTACTGTTTCATTTGAGGCAGGAGTGAGAGGAAGGGGGGAAAGAGATTAATTCTTCTTGTCTTATAGTGTGTGTGTGTGAATATAATGTATAATTTCATCATCTGGGAGTATCATCTTCTCTCTCCTTTCCCCATTCCACCTCTGCAAGTTTTAACTGAATAGGCACGTACACTACCAAAATCCCTTTGCCTGCTGGAGAAAAGGATGCTGAAAAAGAACAACATACGGCTGCAGCCTAATGTCCCAGGTTTCCTATGCTTGAAGTTTTGAAAGTATTGCTGTCACTGCTACCAGCAATGTGACAGCAAGAGTTGTCACAGAATTGCACAGAACTGAGGTTGTCAGGGACCTCTGGAGATCATCCAGTCTGACTGCCCTGTTTGATGGAGGGTCAGCTAGAGCAGGCTGCCCTGGCCATCCCAGAGAGGAGGATTCCCACTACAAGCTTTTCCTTGATGTTTGAATGAAATTCCTTCTATTTCATTGCCTAATGCCCTTATACAGGGCACCAAGAAGAGGCTTGCCTGTCGTCTTTACCCCCACCGGCAGGTATGTGTATATACTGACAAGGTGCCCTTGAGCTTTCTCTTCACCAGTTTAAACTATCCCAGTTCTCAGTCTCACACTGTAGGTATCCCGTGTCTTTATGGCTCTTTACTGGACCAGCTCCAGTATGTCCATGTCACTTGTACTGGGGAGCCCAGCACTGCTGGCTTGGTCTCCCAGTGCTGAGCAGAGGATCAGGGATTGCGTCCCTTGACCAGGATTCTGCTGACATTTTGCATAGACAGAGCCTAGAAGCATGTATTCTCTTGATGCTTATGCTGCTTTATTGAAGCTAGTGGCAGTTCATGTCTGCATCAAAAAAAAGAGAGTATAAACACCCACCACTGTTGAATACCTTTTTAAAAACAAGACAGTTATCTCTGAAATAACCACTATGGGGGGGGGTGTTGGGATGTGTATGTCATTCTGTAATACCGGTCCTGTGGTACAATAGCTAGAAAACAAGAAATTTTTAGTAATAAAAAAGGCCAAAACAAGTTTAAGATATGCAGTAAAATGCATGTATTGTTGTACTGTGAAAGTCTTGCAGCACATTTAAAAAAAAAAAATCTCTTCTGCTGTGCTATTCAAATAACAAGCAAACTTTGGCCTGTGCCACTTAATTGTAGTTCATGTTCATGGGGAACTGTAAAAAGTCTTTTTATTTATCTCCGTCGTCTGTATCACATGCTGTTAATTAAAAAAATACTACTTGGGGTTTTTATCACACTTTTGAGTGTTACTGTATATACTAAAAACTAAATTAAAATAATATGGTTGGTACATTTGTTCTGAAATGAGAATTTATAGCAGCTCGAGTTGTGGAGGTGTGATTTGGTATTTTGGGCCTCCTTGGAAAGGCTTGAAGAAAGGAGGCAGAAAATGCTTCAATCTGTTAATTTAGGTGGGGAAAATACTGAAATTAGCCTTATTTGTGGGTATAGCTATGTGAGAGGTCTTAACTGCACTGGTGTTCACTGTTGCATACACTGAGCGACGTAGTTCAGATGTTGTCTCCAAAGCTGTGAGAGGAGAGCAGGCGGCATGGAAGCATTTCAGCAGAATGGCGGCAAAGCCTCTCTGAAGCCGATCCTGTTTTGGTTTTGAAAACTGTGAAGACACTTCATCACCAAAACTATATTTAAAAATAAAAACTAGGATGTATTTTTGTATCTAGTGCTGACTTGAAAAAAAAAAAGTGAGAAGCATATTTCGGAAATTATACATTGGCAAGTGTGAGAATGTGGGCTTGTAATAGAACTGCAAAAGCTCTGTGGAAAATGCTTTATTTTAGCCTTCAACATCCCAACAAACTGTTACTGTGGGAGGGATTTGAGTTCTCTTGCTTGGGATTTGACTTTTTGAAGGCATGAGGAATGCATCAGGGTGTAATCAGGACACCACTACGTGTCTTTGGTTCACTATTTCAAAGCACAAACAGTTCTAGTATGGAGAGGCCTTTGTCAATAACAGTGAAAGGCAACCTGAGACAGCATTTATCTCCCAGATTTCACCCAATCTATTCTCAGTAAAAGCTGATGTTGAAAGAGGAGGATCTTTGCTGGATTTATCTGTTCTGTACTCCTCGCATATCCAATAACTGACTGAGGTGGCAGAGCATAAAAAAGTGCTGTCTTCCTCTCATCAGTTTTGTTGTCCTCTGGGTGCAAACCTCAAGGGATGCCCTGAAACCTATATGCTCCACAGCTCCCTTGCTTTCTCTGTGAAATGCAGGTCAGGTTGGGACCTTCCAGAAAGGAAGAACAAGTCCTCCCACAAGGAGCTAAGATGCCTAAGATTTGTCACCTCTTGGCTGCACAACAAGATATTCTAGCTCTGCAGCTTGCAAGCTCAAAGCTTAAGTGCCTCCCATCCCAATAGCAGCCTGCCTCTGCTGCCACAGGTAGGTAAAAGTTACCATGTGCTATGTGTTTAACTGCACACTTTACCCCCTTCTTATTTCAGCTGGTTGAAAAGAACATGACCTGCGTTGCCTGTTTAAACCAGGAGGTTACTTATGCCTGGGCTTCCTTCTGTTTCCTGTTAGAGCAAGTTCAGAGTGATTAAACCTGACCCTGATCTGTCTGAAGATCTCAGGAATGTGGCAGTTTCAAAAGCGAGATGAATTTTCTTTCTAAAGCATTGATGAAACCTTTTGGTGCCTACAGCTTTGAACTGTATCTATGACTTCAAAGGGGATCCTCCTCATATTTTGTTCTTTCATTGTCTTGCCTTATTAGCTGTGTGGTCAGGCTGTGCTGTTCTTTGTGAAAGAGAAATCCAGTCAAAACATAAAGAAAACATATTGTGCTTTAGGTGAAAGTGGCTTGGCTAGCATGACTGTGTCTCACTGAGGACTGGATTCAAAGGAAAGGATTGTGTGGGCTTGGTTTTCTTGGTTTTTGTTTTGTTTGGGTTTGTTTTTTTATTTTGGAGGGGGGGTTGGTTTTGGATTGTGTTGCTGCCCTCCACTGGGCATTAGGGAAAGTGGTTTTTCATTTCCACAATATTTACGTAGGAAACTCTGCCATGAACAGAAATATGCAAGCATCCACCCAGCTGGATGGTTGTAGCTAATTTATGGGGACTTCATCCAAACCAGTCTTGGAGGAAAGCCAGGTTCCTGTAGCTGGGATAAGCAGTGCAGAACAAACCAGAGAGAGATGCTAAGACCTTGTTTGATTGGTAATTCTCAAGAGTGGAGTGATGCATCATTTTCTGAGCTCTCAGAAATGTACTTTCAAAAGGGCCGCTGCGCTTGTATGCATGCTGCTCGTCTTCAAAGAGCGTGGCCACATGGTGAAAGCTTTTCCTGCGCGCTTGTAACCAAATCAGCTGTTTTTTTGGAAGTCGGAAAAGACTGAAGGATTTTATAGGTAGGATTTCATAAACCGAGTCTAGCACAACGACGCCAGCCTCCAGTGCGAAAGACTGGGCGCTCAGCACAGCCTCCAGGGCCGAGAGGCAGCTCCTCGTATAACAACGGGGCAGCGGAAAGGCCTCTCGCCGCCCCCCCGCACGACCGCCGTAGCGGAGCCGGGAGGCGCCCTCCTCTCCGCGCCCGCCAGGGGGCGCCATGATGGCGGCCGCCGCTCGGCCCGCCCCGCCCCTTCCCCCGCGGGGCGCGCCGCGTCCGGAGGCGGCTGCGGTGCGGGCTGGGCGCGGAGCGGAAGGTGAGTCCCGGCGGCGAGGCACGGGAGGGGCGGCCGCGGCGTCGCCCGCAGCCCCGGGGATCGGCGTGGCACCCGCAGGCGCCCGCCTCCCTCCGGCCGTTCGCCCCGCGGGGCCGCTCACCGTCTTCTCCCGCCCGACCCCATCTTAAGTCCTCTCCCTCCCCGGCGCCATTTGAAGCGCGAAGCCGCGGCTCGGCGCCTCCGCGCCTCCCCCCCCCTCCGCCGGCCGCCGCCGCGACTCACGCTCGGTCCGCGCGCTCCCGGCTCGTGGCTGGGCCCTCCCTCGCGGAGCCCGCGCGCGCCGCGCTGCCGCCTCGCTCTGCCCCCGCCCCTCCGGCACCGCTAGGCCGCGGCTCGGGGAGGGGCGGCGGGGCTGGCGGCCTCACCCCGCCGCGCTCTCGGTGCGCGATGGGCTCTTCCCTCGCGACCGAAGCGATGGCGGCGTTCGATGCCTCCGGTGCAGCGTTGAAGCGGCCGGCCCGTTACAATAAAGCTGTGCTCCTTACCGGTTGTTTCATCTCACGAGAATGTCGGTAACGCGATAGGCGATGTGGATTTTTTTCTCTCGGTCCTGAAGCTCGGCCTGTGAGCGCCCTAATGCTGCAGAACGCCTCGGGTTCCGTTTGCAGTGCTGCAGTTATTTGGGCCGACGCATCGGCCCGGCCGCTTTGGTGTCATCTCCTTTCCCTTCGGGAGCCGCAGACAAAGGGCAGCCCGGGCTGTGCGCTCCGCAGCGCTGATGCTCCCAGCCGAGCGCTGCTGTCGACTCCGTGTGGTGTTTTTCAGCCTTACAGTTAGCAGTAGTTGTGCGTTTGTTTCTGATGCGATTATCTGGGGGATTGTTTTTTCCTTGTGTTATGATTAAAGTATATTAAGCGCTGTCCTTCCACAGATGAAGGCCTCGTGCTGCTGCATTTGCTGTACGTGGGAGCGGTGCAGCTGTCAGCCTCCGAGCTGCTCTGCTTGCTGATGCTGAAGAGTGTGGGATTTTGGTAAGATGCCATCGCTTCTGTTTTCATTTCCAGCGTGAGAGTGTCGTCTGAAGGTCTCTGCCCCAGGGTATCTGGTCTCTGACAGAAGGCAGCGTGCAGGAGAGCTGCTTCTAACACACCATGCAGTGGCTGCGGTCTGTATGGTGAACCTTCTTACTCCTGGGGCAGGAATACAGAACTACTCTTTGTTACTTGTGTGCTTTTAATATTTTCTTAACTGTAACAGAATAGATAGAGGGGGTGTAAGGAAAAACTCTTTGTGTGGTGTTTGGGGTTTCAGAATACTTGTATTGTTTCATGAAAGATATAAGCTGATAAATATAAGTAGCCAATTCTTGAATGTTTTCATTTTATGGTTAACGTAGACTGTTCAAAATGAATGAGCATCCTAAGAAGAGGAAACGGAAGACACAGCACCCTTCTCGATATTCAGGTCAGCCTAGAGCTCCAGTTATGTACACTTCAATTCATTTAACTTTTCTCAGAATAATAGCTTTGATATATTTGTACCAGGAAAATAAGTAACATACAAGGGGTGGGTTAAGATGCCTTCTACTGAACGTGCAGGGTACCCGCCCTGAATGCTCTGTTCTTAGGCCACTTTCAGTCCGTGCATCTGAGCAGGTTTATTCTGTACTCCCTGCACGTTGGAAAGCTTGCAAAACCATCAAGTGCAGATGATTCTACTAACACACAAGGGGAGAAATTCCCTGGAAGTTGGGATTAAGGGTCCGTAAGCATTCCAGTCTGTAAGCACCGCATTAGCTGTGCTCCTTTCACTGTCTTCAGTGGAAGCAGTTTGACAACAACCATATGTTATGCTATGAAGACCAGAGCAGCAGCAAAAAGCTGTAAATCAGAACGAGAACATTAGCAGACCAGCACAGAATGCTCATAAAGCAAGAAGTAAAAATGTAGCCGGCGAGAATTTTGGTGAATACTAAATCCATATGTAGCTACATCAGTTTGTTAGTGTAAATCTCCTTTTTTTTTTTCTAATATAGATTCTTCAGGTGCACCTAAATACATAGACAATAGTGGGATTTTTTCTGACCACTGCTACAGTGTTTGTTCTATGAAACAACCAGACATAAAGTATTCTGAAAACAGAGGTAAGAGTGCATTTTGGGGTCTTGCTATGTAATGCTTGACTAAGCGTATTGTGCTCTGATTTGTAGAAGTAAATAGAAAACAAAACACATAGTGGTTGTCTTCTGAGCATTGTCCTGATTTGATGTCCCTTAATTGAAACATGATTTTCAGTCAATAATAAGTAAAAAAAATCCTCCTTTTATCTTTGCAGGTAGATACCACAGTCCGGTGCAGAGCATAGACACAGATGATGATGGGAGTCCAGTGCATGCTGGGACTTCTCAGTGGAGTGGGTCACATTCAAATGTAGGGTTGCACTATACAGACCCTAAAAAGAGGGATAAAGGTAAGTGTGCATTTGCAGCTTACATACTAGGAAGCTGGAAGCCACGGATACTGGTGTTTAATGTAACAAATACTTTACTTTCCTGGTTTGACAGAAGAGATCAAAGTTTTTTAGCTTACGTTACTTATTTGTTAGTTGTACTCCCAGTGCCTGGGTGATGTCTGCTTTTTGCACTTATAGGTTTCTACAACCAACTAAATATGGACCCAAGTTCTTTGCAGGTTGTTTGTTATTGTTTTGTGGGTTTTTTTAAACTGACCTTTATTATCTACTTGCTCCTACAGATAAAGCTGCTAATAATGGAATGTGCAAAGACATATGTGACTCACCTATATTCAGTGACAGCCCTACAGAAGAAGAAAAACCTCTTGATATTCAAACTGTAGAAATTTCTACAACAGAAGTTAATGCTGTAGAAGTCCATGATATAGAAACACAAACTGTATCACCTGAGAAGCTAGAAGCTGAGGACCTAGAGGAGATCCCTCTTGAAACCTGTAAAATCTTTGAGAAGAACCAGGCTTTGAATATCACAGCTCAGCAGAAATGGCCTTTGCTGAGAGCCAACAGCAGCGGCCTGTACAAATGTGAGCTCTGTGAGTTCAACAGCAAGTACTTCTCTGATTTAAAACAGCACATGATCCTGAAGCATAAGACGTGTGCGGACACTCATGTCTGTAAAGTTTGTAAAGAAAGTTTCTCCAGCAAAGTGCAGCTCATTGAACATGTGAAACTGCATGAGGAGGACCCATACATCTGTAAATACTGTGATTACAAAACGGTGATATTTGAGAATCTGAGTCAGCACATAGCAGACACTCACTTCAATGACCACCTCTATTGGTGCGAGCAGTGTGATATGCAGTTCTCCTCCAGCAGCGAGCTGTACCTGCACTTCCAGGAACACAGCTGTGACGAGCAGTATTTGTGTCAATTCTGTGAGCATGAAACAAATGATCCAGAAGATCTGCACAGCCACGTGGTAAATGAACACGCGTGCCGACTGATAGAGCTCAGTGACAGCTATCATAACAAGGAGCGTGGACAGTACAGCCTCATAAACAAAATCAGTTTTGACAAATGCAAAAACTTCTTTGTATGCCAAGTGTGTGGCTTTAGGAGCAGGCTGCATACAAATGTCAACAGGCACGTAGCTATTGAACACACCAAAATATTCCCTCATGTTTGTGATGACTGTGGAAAGGGTTTTTCAGGTATGTTGGAGTATTGCAAGCATTTAAGCTCTCATTTATCTGAAGGGATTTATTTGTGTCAGTACTGTGAATATTCAACAGGACAGATTGAAGACCTTAAAACCCATTTGGATTTCAGGCATTCAACAGACTTGCCACATAAATGTACTGATTGCTTAATGAGATTTGGAAATGAAAAAGATCTTCTAAGTCATCTTCAGATACATGAGACAGCTTGATTATTTTCTTTCCCTGCAATAAGCTTGTTAGGATTGGAATTAAAAACACAATATTAAATACAGTTTTAACAGCACTTGTACAATTCTAATGTTTTTACATCAACAAAGCATGTATAACAGCTTGGTGTTAGGAATTTCCTTTCCTAGGAGTTTCAGTAGGTGTAATCATATGTACAGTGTGATGGATCACATTCTGGGGGGAGGGACAGTGGGAATAGTTGCATGTCATAATAATTCCGATGGTTATCCTGCACTTTCACATGAAAGGTACAACAGCAGCTCTTTGGAGTTTGAAATGACCAAGAGAAAGCCAGCTTCTCCCTCCATGCTGAAGTAATACCATACTGATCTCAGCTGCATCTCCTACTCGTGTTACCCTCCACAGGAGCAGGGCACTGCTCACTTTTAGAAAATGGCACCAGCCTGCTGAAGATAACTGCGTTCCAAAAATTCCTGGGGATGAGAATGTGAAAATTCATGTCAGTCTGTATTGACCACCTTGTATTCTTCATAAGCTTTTAAAATTGGTGTGTCTTTCTCTCAAGGGTACCTATCCTACCTCATCATTTGTTTCAGTCTTTGGTCAGCGTTCAGTTTCAAATCCTGTCCCAGCAATGCTTTCATCCACACATTTAGTAGGGACTGCCAGCATCACTTTTATTTCTTTTATTTACCTTCACTTGCTGTCTTTGTTTTGATGCGCAAAGGAGACACGTACTGTTTGTGTGCAGTCTGGGTTGTGTTTTAAGGAGCAATTCTAAGGGGATGTGTGAAGTGATCCAGCTGAGAATAGATAGTGTAATTTTAATATCTAAAAATCTTAGTTTAGCTCTGAAGTATGTCACCAACCTCATTTGGAGAATGCCTCTATAAGTAAACTAGTTCATAATTATTATAATTCTGTAGATCTATAATTAGCTTTCTATGACTAGTAATTTGAGGGAAGTGATTTTAAATCCATATGTGATAAACTTAAATGTACTGGTTCAAACACTGGTATAGTTAAAAAAAAAAAAAAAATCATTTCAAAGTGATTTAGTACAGCTATTCTGATTAGACAGATAGTGTTCTTTGGGCATTACAGTCTTACTAAGTGAATTTTTAGGCTTCAGTCCGTAGCTGTATTTCTCAGTGACTGATAGTTGTACAGATAATTAAGGGTGAGGTCATTTAGATTGTGTTAGCTATGAGGGTGAAATAATCCATAAAATGGTGGAGTTTATGTTTCTGTACTGATTGTAAATTTGTAAGGTTATCTAATGTAAGTATTATATAGGCATAATTAATGTATAAAACATTTCCTGATTGGTGAGACTTAGTGTTATCAGCTCCCAAGCGTGCAAGGGACTTAGCACTGGAGTTTCATAGCTATAAACATTGGCTGAATATAGTGAGTTTATGGAATTTCTGATGTCTAGAGAAGTATTTCTAGAACATCTGAAAAGAAGTCATTTAACACAGGTTTAGTAGGAGGCAAGACTTATTTTCACTGTATTGCAATGCTGATTTAGCATCCAAATCCTACATGTAATCTTTGAAAAAGACAACCCAATCGTATCCTGACTGTATTTTTTTTTAGTTTGTTGTAGAGGAAATGGCAATGTCTGCAGTAGTATCACTAATTTCATATTGCCTGGCTTAATATCGTAGCAGTAATGTAGTTTATGGAGTACTAGTAAGAATTGTTCTATATATGGGTGGCTGATTTTGCTCATATGGGTATAACAGCGTGGGGGGGGAGGGGTATTGGAGCTTCTCTTCCACCCTGCTCTTGGTGACTCAGGATTTCAGGGTGGCTTCCTGTTGACGTATGTCAGTTTCTAATCTCTAAAATGGGGATTATAAGAATATGCCATAGGAGTGGTATGAAAGCAAATTCCAATCTAAAATGCACACCACGGTGTCTAGGTAAGAAATACATTCAGGTTTTACTTAGGATTTCACAGCTACGGGAGTGCGGTGTGGGCTTTTTTTACTGTATCAGAAAGTCAATGGAAATATACTTGACCAGTTGATCTCACCTCGCTTCAGAGGGAGCAGAAATAAGTTACTTGTTTCTGCATGACCAGCCTGCCTAAACAAGAAAGGTATGTAGTGGAAGAAAAAATAGGTCATGAGTGGAGGGTGTTTAGAAGTTGGAGTGCTGGAAGGAATAACAGTGTGTTTGGGGACAGCCTGTTGTTCCCAGGGAGGGCACTGTGCAGTCGCTGTGAATTCAGGGCTGGGTGGAAAGCCAGGCTGAGCTCGGAACATGCCTAGTGCTGCCAGACACTGAGGTCATCTTTAGCATTAATTGATTGGTCCTGGGTTACAGCTATCAGCTGCAGCGATCAGGAGTTTCTCGGTAAGCATTTATGAAAATAAATTCAGCTGTTTCTTGCACTGATACCTGCAGGGCTCCTCTGCTGCAGTGACAAGAAGCTCTGCACCATCTCAGGGTTGCTTTGGGAAGTGGTTTAGTTAGTGCTCAGGCATTTGAGCCTATAGCTTATAAGATCTGCATCGAGTACCACAGCTGGGGGCACGTTGGCCACCAAACGAGAGAATTTATATGGCAGACTTAAAACAAGATTAAAATCCCATTTCTTATTGCAAGAACCTGCAGCACGGAGCCCTACTGCTTCTTTACTCTCTCCCCAACGCTTAATGCTCGTCACAGTCCTTTGTGCTGCCTTTCTCCGGCTGTGTTTCATGCAGAAGTACCAAACCTACAAACGATGGGTGCTATGAAGCCTACAAGCGTTTGTCACCTCAGCTAACGGTGTCTGACTACAGGGCGGTGCTGCCGGCACCCAGCCCTGCCTTCCGTGCTTTCCTTGGGCTTCCCGGCAGCGGGGCGGGGGGCTGTGAGGGGTTATGGGGAGGCCTGGGCTGGAGACAGCTTTCACCTGCAGATGTACCTGCGGGCGACTGGCTGCGCATAAACTGCTGCCTGAGGGAGAAGCTATGGCAAAAATATATATATAAATATTATTATTTCATATATATATATATAATAAATCAAGATCCTGGTAGTTGTAAAGGCCAGAGTGGGGCTACTTCCCCTCAGCGCCCCGTCTCCATTTCACACGCCGCCATTCCCTCTGCCCTCCTTGCAGATGGCGGCTGCCGCTCCGCAGCCCCTCACTAAACATGGCGGCCGCAGGCGGAGCCGGGAGGCGGAGGGGGAGGAGGCGGAAGCGGAAGTGACGTCACTCTGCGGCGCGGCGGCGGGGCAGGAGGCGGCGGCGGCACGGGGGCCCCGCCAGCGGCGCGGCGGTTGCCTGGTAACGGCGGGCTCGAGGAGGAATGGGGCCGCGGCCCGCAGCGCTGTCCGTCCTGCAGGGCTGCGCGGGGAGCTGTGGCCGGGCCTCGTTTGGCCCCGTCCGTGATGCCCGGGCCCCGTTTGGCCCCGTCCGTGATGCCCGGGCCCGGCCGAGGGAGAAGGCTGTGACCTCCAGGCGGGAGCGGGGTTAAAGTGGAGCGCTGGGGGTGAGGCGTGCTTGGAAACGAGCCGTACGAACTCGGTGCTGAAGCGGTGCTTTGTGAGCAGCTATCAGCGTGCGTGGGGAGGGAGGTTAAGGGTTTGCCAGCCTTACTTCCATTGGCTACGTTGTTGTTTGTTTTAATTACCGGCTGAGAGTGCGTTGATTTTCACTGACGTGGGTTCTCTGCGTGTTTCGGTCACTTCATGCAACTTTCCCCACAGTTACATAATGGCAGAAGCCACCGTGTCCCCGCTGAAGCACTTCGTGCTGGCCAAAAAGACCATCACTGCCATCTTTGAGCAGCTGCTGGACTACGTCACTGAGGGGGCTGCTTTTGTGGAAGGTCAGTTTTTGGCGTGATGCGAGGCCTGGTCCATTGCTCTGAACTGACTTTATGGTAGTGCAGCATGTGTTGTGTCACACATCGGTGTGCTGCTTGTGTGAATGTATGCCTTCAGACATCATGGTCCTTTCTGCTTGAGGACAGTGAAATGCTGTGCCAGTAGCCATACTTAGGGTGGTTGTGCCTAATAACAGCTGGCTGCATCGTGTGGCAGTGGGTACTTTCTGTGGTGGTGGAGGTTGAGATGCCTCATGTGGTTTGGGGCCACTTACAGCCCTGTTTCAGTTCCTTACACATAGAAAAAAAAACACCAACAGGCTCTGCTACCTGTTAAGTAGGTTGATCTGTCTAATAGGAAAGCAAGTAATAAAGATATGATGCAAAAAACCTCTGGTTACAACACTACAGGTTTCAGCAGTGTGGAGGTGCACGTTGCCATACAGGTTGGTTGCTCATTACTCTGCTGAGCTCTGTGCCGAGAGGACAGCCTAGCCCAGCTCTGGTGTCCATGGCAGTCCTTGTTTGGCTTTCTGAAGGAGGCAGTGTCACAAAGGCCAGGCAGTAAGCCCATGGACGCAGCCTGGTGTGCTGAAGAGGGTGGTTCATGTTCTGAGATCTGTGCGTTCTCTTTAAACACAGATTGTTTTTAACTGTAGTAGTGATTCTGTTGATTCATCTGTAGTGATTTAAGATGATTTCCCAAGTGCTCTGTGGAACTGTCAAATGATAGGCTCACTTCACGGAGTTATTTTTGCTTTCCTAGTGCTGCATAATTAAAATTTAGACATATCTTTGTCACGTGAAGTATTGATAATGTAGAACTTGTGTCCCTGTGCATGCATTCTGTGTGTGATAGCTTTTGTTATTTTTTTTTCTACTGTAGCAACGTACAGGAATCCAGAGCTTGAACGTATAGCAACAGAAGATGAATTAGCAGAAATACAGGCGTATAAAAAGAAGTTAGCAGTCATTGGTGAGGTGCTTTCACGAAGACACATGAAAGTGGCATTTTTTGGCAGGTAATGAATGGGTTCTTTCAGAACTTAACATCCATGTTTGTAACTTATCTGTACCAGAATTAGTTCTTCGTTATATGATTATTCTTTGAACGTGCTCACTCCTCCCCTAATAGGTGCTAAATATTTCTGTGAGACCATCTTGTTCTATTTGTGTAGTTAATTATGTATGTCTTGTTACATATTTTTATGGATAGGTTACATAAAATATTTTTTGTGTGTGTCGGTCTATTATTTGACTTAGGAAG